CAGAGCCGATGAGCTTCCTGTGATCCTCCTCCAGCTGAACGTCAGAGAACGAGCTCGAGCTCATCTTCATCTGCTCCTCTTTCAGACTCTGAGCGATTTTCTACAACAGAAACAGCGGATGAGAATTCCCCGATCAAACGTCTGAGCGATGAACACACGCCGCTCCTCCGGGATCTCCGGCTCACCTCCATCATCTGCAGTTTGTCGGGATAGGCCAGGTCTCCCGGAGCAGGGTTGTACCCGAGGATGTCGGTCTGGATGTAGATGTGTGTCCTGTAGACCAGGCGCTCCTGCACGTCCTCCAGCATCTGCTTCACGAGCGCGTCGAACGCCGACAGCTGGACCGCTGACACAACCAATCACAGCTCACTTACAAACAAACCAATTCATTTGACATGCTCACTACCGTTCAGAAGAGTGGGTCGGTGTTTTCCACAGTTAAAGTGGCCCCATTATGTGATTTTAAAGGTTCCTAATCTTGTTTTGGTGTTTCCTACAATAGGATTCCATGTCTGAAACGCTTCGATCGAAGATTCAGCCTCTCTAAGCCCCGCCTCTCTGAGAGCTGCTCTGCTGTGATTGGTCAGAGAGCAAACGCTCATTATCATATCTGAATCTCAGCTCTTGATCACAGTGATACGAACAGTAACGATGGCGTGGGTTTACCGTCTCAATCTCAGAAAACAGCGTCTCCTCGACACGAACAACACGAGCCGAACTCTCCCAGTCTCAGATACACTAGTGTTTGAGGGAGGGGCTAAGAGACGCTGCTCAGCCAATCAACACCAGAGACTGGCATTATGCTAATTAGTTACAAACCTACAGCAGAGTCAGCAGGAAGTGAGTTCTCTTTTATCTTTCAGCGCTTTTACATTAACAAACAGCTTTATTACACAGTATATGAAGGCCATATCCCAAAAAAGCATAATAAGGGCACTTTCAGAGGCTAAGATGATTTCAGACCCTGGTACCGTGTGTTGAGTATCAGGATCATTAGCTAAACGGCCATGGCGGCCGGAGAAGCTTCTGTACCGTTGTTCTGCACGTGGTCCTCCAGCATCTCGTTCTTCAGGATCCCACACAGCTCCGCCAGCGTCTCCAGGTGCACCACGTGGATGATCAGAGGCCTCAGCACGTCGTACAGGGACAGGCACAGCTTCTCCAGGAGCTCGCTGAGTGCGTGCAGAACACCCGACAAATGAACACACTAACGCTGTCAAATCACCAGCCAATCTGGCGTGTTACTTATTATGTTCACTCACTTTGCTGGGGAAGTTTGTGTAATTACTCAAATACTTGTGAGTCATGATATATTTAGTACAGCGTATTGCTCAGAATCTGCTCATATCTGGCTTAGTTAATCTGGTTCATTTATTTTTTTAGATTTTTTTTGGGCTAGTAGAAGTTCTGAATGGCAGGTAACTTTTAAACATTTAGTAGCTAAATTGGCCGGTGAGTGAAAAAGTTAATTTCAAACCCTAAATATAAATATCTTTACTGTCACTTTTGATAAATTTAATGCATACTTGTTTAATAATAGCGTTAATTTCTAAAAAAAAAAAAGAAGAAAAGACTTTCTTTCATGCAGTAAAGACAATAATCCCGGGTCAGAACAATATAACAGTTCTCATGTTTGGATGATTCCTTGACCCTGAGGAGTTTCTGGTACTCACTCCAGTTTGGACGAGGGTTTGGAGAAGAACTCATTGTAAAGCTGGTGTTCATCTTGACAAACGTGGACCATGAACGCACAGCCACTGCGCACCTGAAACAACAACAACTCCAATCACCAGCTGAACATCTGCAGTAATGAGCTCATATCATTAGGAATTACATCGTCCCAATGTCCCACGTAACTTCAGTCAAGAGCGAACACAAAAGCAAAGCTGCAAAAATGGTCATTCTGAACTTCCACAACTTCAGACAAATGTAAAGCTCAGGGAAAACAAAATACAAAATGCAGCAATTAACAGAGCCAAGCTCAAGACAGGCATGATAAGATATGCAAGCATAACTGGGCGCATTTATACATTACTTTAGCCAAAACGGGTGAAAATTATCAAATCAATTGTAATAAATAAATGCTTATGACTATGACCAATAGGTGGTGCTGAAACCAAATTGATGTCATGTGGTCAGTGTGAAGAAACAATGACACACACAAAGTTTGGTGTTAACATGAGTTTCAGAATCAGCTTTGCATCATGCCATCGATTTTGGTGAAAATTGGTTTTTAAAAAAAGTACGTTATCAAAGACATTCAAAATATTGGACAGCAATTTTGACCAAATATGACATAATTGGTATGATTGTCCTCGGTATAACTTAAAGCTTAATTAAAATAAGCTAAATTAATCAAAAACATTAGCATGTTTTGAAATTTCATTATTATTTGATCACAAGGTGGCGCTGTCTCTAAACTTTTTGAGGCCCTTCAGGGCATGGTGCCAAAGACACATACGAGTTTCATAACAATATGCTAATGAGTTCCACAAATATTTAAGACAGAATTCTACATGGGTGACGCCCTAAATTGGACGACATAAAAAAATCGGCTATCATTTGACTCCATATGCTGCACTGTAATATAAATACCAATTTTTTTAATATCTCCTGACCAGTAGGTAGCGCTGTGCCGAAACTCTGCAAGCAGCCTCAGGCCATGCTTGTGACGACATGTTCCAATATTTGTTTCAATACACTAGAGCGTTGCGGAGATTCAGCCTTGCATCCATTTCAAGGTCATGCAATGTGTCATTCCATACACATTTTTACATGAAGGAACGAAACTAAGGACTAAGATCCCAGTCAAAACACAAGATAAAAACATTAACCAATAAAACATTAGAAACTAGAGTGTCTAAGCAGCTTCGTCAATAAATAGCTAATTTTGACGTGCTCTTTGTCTTCGAGATTTAGCTTTGCATCCTCAAATCCGCTCGCCTGTTATTCAAAAACAGTTGGGTCTATCAAAAAACCTAACTTTTTGCAAACACGATCTGAACCAATTTTTGTCCAAATCAGACTAACCGTCAAGAACGAGTTAAAAACGTAAGCGTTCATTGCATAGGTGCAATCGAATCATCCTGATTATTATCACAAACATAAGTGCAACTCCGGACACTTGGTGGCGCTAGAGGGAATGAGTTAGAGACTCCAAATTTGCTGTGGTTAATATTCAGACTGTTCTATATCTTTGTGCCAAATTTCCTCATTTTCCTGCAAGCGGTTCTATGGGCGGCCATAAACTAAAGAGCGGAAGAAGAAGAAGAACACTAAGAGAAACAATAACTAACGATGATTTTAGTATGATTCCCCTAAAGAGAGCCAGAAGTCGATTTGATTCCCCTAAAGAGAGCCAGAAGTCGATTTGATTCCCCTAAAGAGAGCCAGAAGGTGATTTGATTCCCCTAAAGAGAGCCAGAAGGTGATTTGATTCCCCTAAAGAGAGGCAGAAGGTGATTTGATTCCCCTAAAGAGAGGCAGAAGTCGATTTGATTCCCCTAAAGAGAGGCAGAAGTCGATTTGATTCCCCTAAAGAGAGGCAGAAGGTGATTTGATTCCCCTAAAGAGAGGCAGAAGTCGATTTGATTCCCCTAAAGAGAGGCAGAAGGTGATTTGATTCCCCTAAAGAGAGGCAGAAGTCGATTTGATTCCCCTAAAGAGAGGCAGAAGTCGATTTGATTCCCCTAAAGAGAGGCAGAAGTCGATTTGATTCCCCTAAAGAGAGGCAGAAGGTGATTTGATTCCCCTAAAGAGAGGCAGAAGGTGATTGGCTCACCAGAGCGCAGTGATCCTTGTTGTTCTGGCCGGTGAGGTCCGTGATGGTGGAGTTTATACTGGGACTGAGCAGAAGTTCTCTCTGGTCCAAGTAACACTGGTGAATCTCATCCAAGAGCTGCTGATACCTGAAAGAAGAGTTATCTCTCATTACAGGGCATTTGTGGAAGAAAGATGATCCAAACTTTCCCACATTACTCAGTGCTTCAGGTGTAAATGAAAGAAGGTTGTCATTCTCCATCACTTACTCTGGGATTATTTCAGACCGCTGTTCGACTTGCTCAATAAGCCTCTGAAACAAACAAACAAAAAATAATATATACAGTCAAACCAAAAATTATTCAGACACCAGATATCCTTTTTGATATTTTTCACTAGTGTGTGCAGGACACTATAGTTCATTTATGTAAGTGAGGAGAGCAAAATAAAGTAAACTGTGAGCTATTATACCCAAATATTCTTCATGCAGTGACTACCAGTGACATATTTGGGAGCAAATATGATTCCTCCACTTTGAGCTGATCATGTTTTCTTCAGTGTGTTTTCTGTAATTGCTAATGCTCTTTTTACACACACACTGAACAACATGAAGCATTGCTTGGTCACTGGTTGAGCTAAACTGGTATTATCTAATTGTGTAGTTAAATTTAACAGCTGACAGATATTCAACATAATTCATGTGTGAGAGTCTAACAGAAGGACGGACAAAACCAGTCAAATATCCACTGAGTTCTGCTCATATTTCATTACGATTTTCTAAACTATAGTGAATAAACTGATAATGTGAGAAATGATGAAGCTGTCTGAGTAAATTGTGGTCTGACTGTAAGTGAAGAACTAAATTAGTCAGGGTTAGGAACAACATGAGTGTGAATAAATGGCACAATTGAGATTTGTTTTAGTGAATTATTGCTTTTAAACCCTATAAATCCTACTTTGTTCATCTCTCGATCATCATTGTATTGCATTGCATTATATGTTTTAAAAATACAGAGCTTTGATCATAAAACTAAGCATTAAATATCATCTTACTAACAGATATTATTGACAGATATTGATATGTATTTTATGCTTTACTGTTATAAAGATCTCATTGATTTACATTACAAGCATCATATTTTCATATAAATATCAGCATCTGCATCAGACTGCATGTGCTTGCTCAGTTTGAGGCTGTTTTTTCCTGCATATTCTCACTATATGAGTCATAAAAGCCTGATGCATCAAAAATTATACTCAACAAAAACAGTTTTTTTGGGGGGGATTAAAAGGTTTAATAAACTATTCCATTTCCAAAGAAGACTATTATTGCTTATGCAGGGTTAAACGGGCCGAATTACACCGGAGAAGAGATGGAACGGTTGCACTGGAGACTCACCCGAACTTTAGGAGCCGCTGCCCTGAACTTCACATAGTAGAGCGTGAAGGCGTTGTCTGCGTTCGGAGCGCCCAGCGGATCCTGTCAATCAACACACACAGATAATTATACAGCCAGCTGAGATTTAATAACCAGCACGGCTTCACTTCTCGTAAACGCACTCGTTTGGTCAGCTGACTGGTGAGGTTGTGCATGGTGTTGACCGTGTGGCTCTTGATGAGATGCATGGCTTTGGACAGGCACTGCTTGAATTTGCTGAGGTACACTGGGTAATCTTTGAAATTTGGCTGAAAGAAAACACGAGGAATAGATTATAAAGGTTCGAAATGCTTGAAAGATGCTGTTGGAACAGGAGGATAGTGCCCAGAATGCTTTGCTTACATGTGATGAAACATATTCAATGCATTCATCTAATTTGGAAAGCATCGGAATGAATCCCTCGCTGTTCACCGATAGCGTTGAGGAGTTGAGTTTCTACAGGAGGAGAGGCGATTAATAGATGACCAGCGCATGACAGACACGTGTTGGAGACGGCAGCGAGGCATTACCGTGTTAATGTTTTCCAGTTCATTAAAGTATGAGAGTTTCTCCTGGATGCTCTCGGCCAGATCCACCAGCTCTGACTGTAGACGGCAGAGAGAGACGATTAATACACCTCGTTTATCCCATCAGTGTGTGTGTGTGTGTGTGTGCTGGTGTGAGCGGCAGTGTGTGTGTGCTGATGTGAGCAGCAGTGTGTGTGTGCTGGTGTGAGCGGCAGTGTGTGTGTGTGTGTGTGTGTGTGTGCTGGTGTGAGCAGCAGTGTGTGTGTGCTGGTGTGAGCAGCAGTGTGTGTGTGCTGGTGTGAGCAGCAGTGTGTGTGTGCTGGTGTGAGCAGCAGTGTGTGTGTGCTGGTGTGAGCGGCAGTGTGTGTGTGCTGGTGTGAGCGGCAGTGTGTGTGTGCTGGTGTGAGCGGCAGTGTGTGTGTGCTGGTGTGAGCGGCAGTGTGTGTGTGCTGGTGTGAGCAGCAGTGTGTGTGTGCTGGTGTGAGCAGCAGTGTGTGTGCTGGTGTGAGCGGCAGTGTGTGTGTGCTGGTGTGAGCAGCAGTGTGTGTGTGCTGGTGTGAGCAGCAGTGTGTGTGTGCTGGTGTGTGCAGCAGTGTGTGTGCTGGTGTGAGCAGCAGTGTGTGTGTGCTGGTGTGAGCAGCAGTGTGTGTGTGCTGGTGTGAGCAGCAGTGTGTGTGTGCTGGTGTGTGCAGCAGTGTGTGTGCTGGTGTGAGCAGCAGTGTGTGTGTGCTGGTGTGAGCGGCAGTGTGTGTGTGCTGGTGTGAGCAGCAGTGTGTGTGTGCTGGTGTGAGCAGCAGTGTGTGTGTGCTGGTGTGAGCGGCAGTGTGTGTGTGTGTGTGTGTGTGCTGGTGTGAGCGGCAGTGTGTGTGTGCTGGTGTGAGCAGCAGTGTGTGTGTGCTGGTGTGAGCAGCAGTGTGTGTGCTGGTGTGAGCAGCAGTGTGTGTGTGCTGGTGTGAGCAGCAGTGTGTGTGTGCTGGTGTGAGCGGCAGTGTGTGTGTGCAGTGTGTGTGTGCTGGTGTGAGCAGCAGTGTGTGTGTGCTGGTGTGAGCGGCAGTGTGTGTGTGCAGTGTGTGTGTGCTGGTGTGAGCGGCAGTGTGTGTGTGCTGGTGTGAGCGGCAGTGTGTGTGTGCTGGTGTGAGCGGCAGTGTGTGTGTGCAGTGTGTGTGTGCTGGTGTGAGCGGCAGTGTGTGTGTGCTGGTGTGAGCGGCAGTGTGTGTGTGCTGGTGTGAGCGGCAGTGTGTGTGTGCTGGTGTGAGCGGCAGTGTGTGTGTGCTGGTGTGAGCAGCAGTGTGTGTGTGCTGGTGTGAGCAGCAGTGTGTGTGTGCTGGTGTGAGCAGCAGTGTGTGTGTGCTGGTGTGAGCGGCAGTGTGTGTGTGCTGGTGTGAGCGGCAGTGTGTGTGTGTGTGCTGGTGTGAGCAGCAGTGTGTGTGTGCTGGTGTGAGCAGCAGTGTGTGTGTGCTGGTGTGAGCAGCAGTGTGTGTGTGCTGGTGTGAGCGGCAGTGTGTGTGTGCTGGTGTGAGCGGCAGTGTGTGTGTGTGTGTGTGTGTGCTGGTGTGAGCGGCAGTGTGTGTGTGCTGGTGTGAGCAGCAGTGTGTGTGTGCTGGTGTGAGCAGCAGTGTGTGTGCTGGTGTGAGCAGCAGTGTGTGTGTGCTGGTGTGAGCAGCAGTGTGTGTGTGCTGGTGTGAGCGGCAGTGTGTGTGTGCTGGTGTGAGCGGCAGTGTGTGTGTGCTGGTGTGAGCGGCAGTGTGTGTGTGCTGGTGTGAGCGGCAGTGTGTGTGTGCAGTGTGTGTGTGCTGGTGTGAGCGGCAGTGTGTGTGTGCTGGTGTGAGCGGCAGTGTGTGTGTGCTGGTGTGAGCGGCAGTGTGTGTGTGCTGGTGTGAGCGGCAGTGTGTGTGTGCTGGTGTGAGCGGCAGTGTGTGTGTGCTGGTGTGAGCGGCAGTGTGTGTGTGCTGGTGTGAGCAGCAGTGTGTGTGTGCTGGTGAGAGCAGCAGTGTGTGTGTGCTGGTGTGAGCGGCAGTGTGTGTGTGCTGGTGTGAGCAGCAGTGTGTGTGTGCTGGTGTGAGCAGCAGTGTGTGTGTGCTGGTGTGAGCGGCAGTGTGTGTGTGTGTGTGTGTGTGCTGGTGTGAGCGGCAGTGTGTGTGTGCTGGTGTGAGCAGCAGTGTGTGTGTGCTGGTGTGAGCAGCAGTGTGTGTGCTGGTGTGAGCAGCAGTGTGTGTGTGCTGGTGTGAGCAGCAGTGTGTGTGTGCTGGTGTGAGCGGCAGTGTGTGTGTGCTGGTGTGAGCGGCAGTGTGTGTGTGCTGGTGTGAGCGGCAGTGTGTGTGTGCTGGTGTGAGCGGCAGTGTGTGTGTGCAGTGTGTGTGTGCTGGTGTGAGCGGCAGTGTGTGTGTGCTGGTGTGAGCGGCAGTGTGTGTGTGCTGGTGTGAGCGGCAGTGTGTGTGTGCTGGTGTGAGCGGCAGTGTGTGTGTGCTGGTGTGAGCGGCAGTGTGTGTGTGCTGGTGTGAGCAGCAGTGTGTGTGTGCTGGTGTGAGCAGCAGTGTGTGTGTGCTGGTGTGAGCAGCAGTGTGTGTGTGCTGGTGTGAGCGGCAGTGTGTGTGTGCTGGTGTGAGCGGCAGTGTGTGTGTGTGTGCTGGTGTGAGCAGCAGTGTGTGTGTGCTGGTGTGAGCAGCAGTGTGTGTGTGCTGGTGTGAGCAGCAGTGTGTGTGTGCTGGTGTGAGCGGCAGTGTGTGTGTGCTGGTGTGAGCGGCAGTGTGTGTGTGTGTGTGTGTGTGCTGGTGTGAGCGGCAGTGTGTGTGTGCTGGTGTGAGCAGCAGTGTGTGTGTGCTGGTGTGAGCAGCAGTGTGTGTGCTGGTGTGAGCAGCAGTGTGTGTGTGCTGGTGTGAGCAGCAGTGTGTGTGTGCTGGTGTGAGCGGCAGTGTGTGTGTGCTGGTGTGAGCGGCAGTGTGTGTGTGCTGGTGTGAGCGGCAGTGTGTGTGTGCTGGTGTGAGCGGCAGTGTGTGTGTGCAGTGTGTGTGTGCTGGTGTGAGCGGCAGTGTGTGTGTGCTGGTGTGAGCGGCAGTGTGTGTGTGCTGGTGTGAGCGGCAGTGTGTGTGTGCTGGTGTGAGCGGCAGTGTGTGTGTGCTGGTGTGAGCGGCAGTGTGTGTGCTGGTGTGAGCAGCAGTGTGTGTGTGCTGGTGTGAGCAGCAGTGTGTGTGTGCTGGTGTGAGCGGCAGTGTGTGTGTGCTGGTGTGAGCGGCAGTGTGTGTGTGCTGGTGTGAGCAGCAGTGTGTGTGTGCTGGTGTGAGCGGCAGTGTGTGTGCTGGTGTGAGCGGCAGTGTGTGTGTGCTGGTGTGAGCAGCAGTGTGTGTGTGCTGGTGTGAGCAGCAGTGTGTGTGTGCTGGTGTGAGCAGCAGTGTGTGTGTGCTGGTGTGAGCAGCAGTGTGTGTGTGCTGGTGTGAGCAGCAGTGTGTGTGTGCTGGTGTGAGCAGCAGTGTGTGTGTGCTGGTGTGAGCAGCAGTGTGTGTGTGCTGGTGTGAGCGGCAGTGTGTGTGTGCTGGTGTGAGCAGCAGTGTGTGTGTGCTGGTGTGAGCGGCAGTGTGTGTGTGCTGGTGTGAGCGGCAGTGTGTGTGTGCTGGTGTGAGCGGCAGTGTGTGTGTGCTGGTGTGAGCGGCAGTGTGTGTGTGCTGGTGTGAGCGGCAGTGTGTGTGTGCTGGTGTGAGCAGTGTGTGTGTGTGCTGGTGTGAGCAGCAGTGTGTGTGTGCTGGTGTGAGCAGCAGTGTGTGTGTGCTGGTGTGAGCAGCAGTGTGTGTGTGCTGGTGTGAGCAGCAGTGTGTGTGTGCTGGTGTGAGCGGCAGTGTGTGTGTGCTGGTGTGAGCAGCAGTGTGTGTGTGCTGGTGTGAGCAGCAGTGTGTGTGTGCTGGTGTGAGCAGCAGTGTGTGTGTGCTGGTGTGAGCAGCAGTGTGTGTGTGCTGGTGTGAGCAGCAGTGTGTGTGTGCTGGTGTGAGCGGCAGTGTGTGTGTGCTGGTGTGAGCGGCAGTGTGTGTGTGCTGGTGTGAGCAGCAGTGTGTGTGTGCTGGTGTGAGCAGCAGTGTGTGTGTGCTGGTGTGAGCGGCAGTGTGTGTGTGTGTGTGTGTGTGTGTGTGTGTGTGTGTGTGCTGGTGTGAGCGGCAGTGTGTGTGTGCTGGTGTGAGCGGCAGTGTGTGTGTGCTGGTGTGAGCAGCAGTGTGTGTGTGCTGGTGTGAGCAGCAGTGTGTGTGTGCTGGTGTGAGCAGCAGTGTGTGTGTGTGCTGGTGTGAGCAGCAGTGTGTGTGTGCTGGTGTGAGCAGCAGTGTGTGTGCTGGTGTGAGCAGCAGTGTGTGTGCTGGTGTGAGCAGCAGTGTGTGTGTGCTGGTGTGAGCAGCAGTGTGTGTGCTGGTGTGAGCAGCAGTGTGTGTGTGCTGGTGTGTGCAGCAGTGTGTGTGCTGGTGTGAGCAGCAGTGTGTGTGTGCTGGTGTGAGCGGCAGTGTGTGTGTGCTGGTGTGAGCAGCAGTGTGTGTGTGCTGGTGTGAGCGGCAGTGTGTGTGTGCAGTGTGTGTGTGCAGTGTGTGTGTGCAGTGTGTGTGTGCAGTGTGTGTGTGCAGTGTGTGTGTGCTGGTGTGTGCAGCAGTGTGTGTGCTGGTGTGAGCAGCAGTGTGTGTGTGCTGGTGTGAGCGGCAGTGTGTGTGTGCTGGTGTGAGCGGCAGTGTGTGTGTGCTGGTGTGAGCGGCAGTGTGTGTGTGTGTGTGTGTGTGCTGGTGTGAGCAGCAGTGTGTGTGTGCTGGTGTGAGCAGCAGTGTGTGTGTGCTGGTGTGAGCAGCAGTGTGTGTGTGCTGGTGTGAGCAGCAGTGTGTGTGCTGGTGTGAGCAGCAGTGTGTGTGTGCTGGTGTGAGCGGCAGTGTGTGTGTGCTGGTGTGAGCGGCAGTGTGTGTGTGCTGGTGTGAGCAGCAGTGTGTGTGTGCTGGTGTGAGCAGCAGTGTGTGTGTGCTGGTGTGAGCAGCAGTGTGTGTGTGCTGGTGTGAGCAGCAGTGTGTGTGTGCTGGTGTGAGCAGCAGTGTGTGTGTGCTGGTGTGAGCAGCAGTGTGTGTGTGCTGGTGTGAGCAGCAGTGTGTGTGCTGGTGTGAGCAGCAGTGTGTGTGTGCTGGTGTGAGCAGCAGTGTGTGTGTGCTGGTGTGAGCAGCAGTGTGTGTGTGCTGGTGTGAGCGGCAGTGTGTGTGTGCTGGTGTGAGCAGCAGTGTGTGTGTGCTGGTGTGAGCAGCAGTGTGTGTGTGCTGGTGTGAGCGGCAGTGTGTGTGTGCTGGTGTGAGCAGCAGTGTGTGTGTGCTGGTGTGAGCAGCAGTGTGTGTGTGCTGGTGTGAGCAGCAGTGTGTGTGTGCTGGTGAGAGCAGCAGTGTGTGTGTGCTGGTGAGAGCAGCAGTGTGTGTGTGCTGGTGAGAGCAGCAGTGTGTGTGTGCAGTGTGTGTGTGCTGGTGTGAGCAGCAGTGTGTGCTGGTGTGAGCGGCAGTGTGTGTGTGCTGGTGTGAGCGGCAGTGTGTGTGTGCAGTGTGTGTGTGCAGTGTGTGTGTGCTGGTGAGAGCAGCAGTGTGTGTGCTGGTGTGAGCAGCAGTGTGTGTGTGCTGGTGTGAGCAGCAGTGTGTGTGTGCTGGTGTGAGCAGCAGTGTGTGTGTGCTGGTGTGAGCGGCAGTGTGTGTGTGCAGTGTGTGTGTGCAGTGTGTGTGTGCTGGTGTGAGCGGCAGTGTGTGTGTGCAGTGTGTGTGTGCAGTGTGTGTGTGCTGGTGTGAGCGGCAGTGTGTGTGTGCAGTGTGTGTGTGCAGTGTGTGTGTGCAGTGTGTGTGTGCAGTGTGTGTGTGCTGGTGTGAGCGGCAGTGTGTGTGTGCAGTGTGTGTGTGCAGTGTGTGTGTGTGTGTGTGTGTGTGCTGGTGTGAGCGGCAGTGTGTGTGTGCAGTGTGTGTGTGCAGTGTGTGTGTGCAGTGTGTGTGTGCAGTGTGTGTGTGCTGGTGTGAGCGGCAGTGTGTGTGTGCAGTGTGTGTGTGCAGTGTGTGTGTGTGTGTGTGTGTGTGCTGGTGTGAGCGGCAGTGTGTGTGTGCAGTGTGTGTGTGCTGGTGAGAGCAGCAGTGTGTGTGCTGGTGTGAGCAGCAGTGTGTGTGTGCTGGTGTGAGCAGCAGTGTGTGTGTGCTGGTGTGAGCAGCAGTGTGTGTGTGCAGTGTGTGTGTGCAGTGTGTGTGTGCAGTGTGTGTGTGCAGTGTGTGTGTGCAGTGTGTGTGTGCTGGTGTGAGCGGCAGTGTGTGTGTGCAGTGTGTGTGTGCAGTGTGTGTGTGTGTGTGTGTGTGTGCTGGTGTGAGCTAGTGTTTGAGGAGATCTCTTCAGACCTGCTCCTTCAGGAGTTGTTCACAGGCCTCGTGAAGCGTTCCAGTTTTGGTGGACACGAAGAGATACTGCTTCTGCAGAGAGTCCAGCCGCTCCAGCGCCGCGTTCACGTCGCTCAGAATCGCATCGCACTGCTCCTGATACCCGTTCAGAACATCCCGGCTCCTCCTGTGAGTGAACACCGATCACACTCGAGTCACGTCCTTTATTTATACAGCGCTTTTACAACACAGAGTGTTTCACAGCAGCTTTACAGAGATAACAGGAAAATAACGTTTGTTTCTAGAAGAGAATAACATCACAGTCCAGCTTAAGTATGTTCAGTGATGGTTCATTTCTGTTGTAAAAAAGTTATTAATTTAGTTCATTTATATATATAGCCGCTCTGGAGAAAACCGTGATGTCATCGTCCAGCTCAGTTCAGTTCTCATATAATGCTGTCAATGCAGGAGATCAATAATATTGCTGAATATTAAATTAAATGTCACCAACTAAACTATTAATCCACCATCAGCTTTTAGTGTAACTGCTCACATATGCTCACAATCATTTAAGAAATAGTTAAAAGAAGATAGTAAAGTCAGGGCTAACTGTGAACAGTGAATTTGAACCTTTCTGACGTGTGCACAATGAGAACGTGGAGGAATCGCACACGAACACACACCTGTACTTTGTGGCTTCGTCTTGATCCATCTGAACCTGCAGCTTCGAGAACCAGGAGAAAAACTGACAGACAGATGATGTCATTAGTCATGTGATGATGATGTCGTTCAGCATTTGTGCAATGAAACAACAGACACAAAAACACAAACTACAGAGACTGTGTGAACGCTTTCATTCGTATGACAGCCTGGACAAAAATGATGTCGCACAATTTGTCATGTTTCATTGCGTTATCATCACTAATAAAACAATCGACTTCAAGCACAACTACGCAATATAACAACAAAATCTATAATATTTGAATGAAGGGTGAAGATGACAATTTTCCTAGGCTGGATATCACTTTTGGACACTACTGTATGTTGCACTTAAAGCCTTTGCTGAATGTCTAATAATTTAACTGGAACTGGACTTTATATGTGACCCTGGACCACAAAACCAGTCACAAGTGGTGTCAGTGGTGCAGTGGCGGCAGTGGGGGGAGTGGTGCAGTGGGGGGAGTGGTGCAGTGGGTGCAGTGGGGGGAGTGGTGCAGTGTGTGCAGTGGGGGCAGTGGTGCAGTGGGGGGAGTGGGTGCAGTGGGGGGAGTGGTGCAGTGTGTGCAGTGGGGGGAGTGGTGCAGTGGGGGGAGTGGGTGCAGTGGGGGGAGTGGTGCAGTGGGTGCAGTGGGGGGAGTGGTGCAGTGTGTGCAGTGGGGGCAGTGGTGCAGTGGGGGCAGTGGTGCAGTGGGTGCAGTGGGGGGAGTGGTGCAGTGGGTGCAGTGGTGCAGTGGGGGCAGTGGGGGGAGTGGTGCAGTGGGTGCAGTGGGGGGAGTGGTGCAGTGTGTGCAGTGGGGGCAGTGGTGCAGTGGGGGAAGTGTGTGCAGTGGGGGGAGTGGTGCAGTGTGTGCAGTGGGGGGAGTGGTGCAGTGGGGGGAGTGGGTGCAGTGGGGGGAGTGGTGCAGTGGGTGCAGTGGGGGGAGTGGTGCAGTGTGTGCAGTGGGGGCAGTGGTGCAGTGGGGGCAGTGGTGCAGTGGGTGCAGTGGGGGGAGTGGTGCAGTGGGTGCAGTGGTGCAGTGGGGGCAGTGGGGGGAGTGGTGCAGTGGGTGCAGTGGGGGGAGTGGTGCAGTGGGTGCAGTGGGGGCAGTGGGGGGAGTGGTGCAGTGTGTGCAGTGGGGGGAGTGGTGCAGTGGGTGCAGTGGGGGGAGTGGTGCAGTGGGTGCAGTGGGTGCAGTGAGGGCAGTGGGTGCAGTGGGGGCAGTGGGTGCAGTGGGGGGAGTGGTGCAGTGGGTGCAGTGGGGGGAGTGGTGCAGTGGGGGGAGTGGTGCAGTGGGTGCAGTGGGGGGAGTGGTGCAGTGGGTGCAGTGGGGGGAGTGGTGCAGTGTGTGCAGTGGTGCAATGGGGGCAGTGGTGCAGTGGAGTCAGTGGGTGCAGTGGGTGCAGTGGAGTCAGTGGGTGCAGTGGAGTCAGTGGTGCAGTGTGTGCAGTGGTGCACTGGTGGCAGTGGAGTCAGTGGTGGGAGTGGAGTCAGTGGGTGCAGTGGTGCAGTGGGGGGAGTGGAGTCAGTGGGTGCAGTGGAGTCAGTGGTGCAGTGGGGGGAGTGGGTGCAGTGGGGGGAGTGGTGCAGTGTGTGCAGTGGGGGGAGTGGTGCAGTGGGGGGAGTGGGTGCAGTGGGGGGAGTGGGGGCAGTGGGGGGAGTGGTGCAGTGTGTGCAGTGGGGGGAGTGGTGCAGTGGGGGGAGTGGGTGCAGTGGGGGGAGTGGTGCAGTGGGGGGAGTGGTGCAGTGGGTGCAGTGGGGGCAGTGGGGGGAGTGGTGCAGTGTGTGCAGTGGGGGGAGTGGTGCAGTGGGTGCAGTGGGGGGAGTGGTGCAGTGGGTGCAGTGGGTGCAGTGAGGGCAGTGGGTGCAGTGGGGGCAGTGGGTGCAGTGGGGGGAGTGGTGCAGTGGGTGCAGTGGGGGGAGTGGTGCAGTGGGGGGAGTGGTGCAGTGGGTGCAGTGGGGGGAGTGGTGCAGTGGGTGCAGTGGGGGGAGTGGTGCAGTGTGTGCAGTGGTGCAATGGGGGCAGTGGTGCAGTGGAGTCAGTGGGTGCAGTGGGTGCAGTGGAGTCAGTGGGTGCAGTGGAGTCAGTGGTGCAGTGTGTGCAGTGGTGCACTGGTGGCAGTGGAGTCAGTGGTGGGAGTGGAGTCAGTGGGTGCAGTGGTGCAGTGGGGGGAGTGGAGTCAGTGGGTGCAGTGGAGTCAGTGGTGCAGTGTGTGCAGTGGTGCAATGGGGGCAGTGGTGGGAGTGGAGTCAGTGGGTGCAGTGGAGTCAGTGGTGCAGTGGGGGCAGTGGTGCAGTGGTGGCAGTGGAGTCAGTGGTGGGAGTGGAGTCAGTGGGTGCAGTGGGGGCAGTGGTGCAGTGGGGGCAGTGGAGTCAGTGGTGCAGTGGGGGCAGTGGTGCAGTGGGGGGAGTGGTGCAGTGGGGGGAGTGGTGCAGTGGGTGCAGTGGGGGGAGTGGTGCAGTGTGTGCAGTGGGGGCAGTGGTGCAATGGGGGCAGTGGTGGGAGTGGAGTCAGTGGGTGCAGTGGGTGCAGTGGAGTCAGTGGTGCAGTGGGGGCAGTGGTGCAGTGGTGGCAGTGGAGTCAGTGGTGGGAGTGGAGTCAGTGGGTGCAGTGGAGTCAGTGGTGCAGTGGGGGCAGTGGAGTCAGTGGTGGCAGTGGAGTCAGTGGTGGCAGTGGAGTCAGTGGAGTCAGTGGGGGCAGTGGAGTCAGTGGGGGCAGTGGTGGCAGTGGAGTCAGTGGTGGCAGTGGAGTCAGTGGTGGCAGTGGAGTCCGTGGTGTCAGTGGGGGCAGTGGAGTCAGTGGGGGCAGTGGAGTCAGTGGGGGCAGTGGAGTCAGTGGGGGCAGTGGAGTCAGTGGGGGCAGTGGAGTCAGTGGTGGCAGTGGAGTCAGTGGGGGCAGTGGGGGCAGTGGTGGGAGTGGAGGCAGTGGTGGCAGTGGAGGCAGTGGGGGCAGTGGGTGCAGTGGGGGCAGTGGAGTCAGTGGGGGCAGTGGTGGCAGTGGGAGCAGTGGAGTCAGTGGTGGCAGTGGAGTCAGTGGTGGCAGTGGAGTCAGTGGTGGCAGTGGAGTCAGTGGTGGCAGTGGAGTCAGTGGGGGCAGTGGAGTCAGTGGTGGCAGTGGAGTCAGTGGTGGCAGTGGAGTCAGTGGTGGCAGTGGTGTCAGTGGGTGCAGTGGTGGCAGTGGAGGCAGTGTCAGTGGAGGCAGTGGTGTCAGTGGAGGCAGTGTCAGTGGAGGCAGTGGTGTCAGTGGAGGCAGTGGTGTCAGTGGAGGCAGTGTGGTGTCAGTGGTTGCAGTGTGGTGTCAGTGGTGCCAGTTGTGTCAGTGGTGGCAGTTGTGTCAGTGTGGTGGCAGTGTGACGGCAGTGTGGCGGCAGTGGTGCCAGTGTGGTGGCAGTGTGGCGGCAGTGTGGTGGCAGTGTGGCGGCAGTGGTGCCAGTGTGGTGTCAGTGTGGCGTCAGTGTGGCGGCAGTGTGGCGGCAGTGTGGTGGCAGTGTGGTGGCAGTGGTGCCAGTGTGGTGTCAGTGTGGCGTCAGTGTGGTGTCAGTGTGGCGTCAGTGTGGCGGCAGTGTGGTGGCAGTGTGGCGGCAGTGTGGTGGCAGTGGTGCCAGTGTGGTGCCAGTGTGGTGTCAGTGTGGCGGCAGTGTGGCGGCAGTGTGGTGGCAGTGTGGCGGCAGTGTGGTGGCAGTGGTGCCAGTGTGGTGTCAGTGTGGCGTCAGTGTGGTGTCAGTGTGGCGTCAGTGTGGTGGCAGTGTGGCGGCAGTGGTGCCAGTGTGGTGTCAGTGTGGCGTCAGTGTGGCGGCAGTGTGGTGGCAGTGTGGCGGCAGTGTGGTGGCAGTGGTGCCAGTGTGGTGTCAGTGTGGCGTCAGTGTGGTGGCAGTGTGGCGGCAGTGTGGTGGCAGTGTGGTGTCAGTGTGGCGTCAGTGTGGTGGCAGTGTGGCGGCAGTGTGGTGGCAGTGTGGCGGCAGTGTGGCGGCAGTGTGGTGGCAGTGGTGCCAGTGTGGCGTCAGTGTGGTGTCAGTGTGGCGTCAGTGTGGTGGCAGTGTGGCGGCAGTGGTGCCAGTGTGGCGTCAGTGTGGTGTCAGTGTGGCGTCAGTGTGGTGGCAGTGTGGTGGCAGTGGTGCCAGTGTGGCGTCAGTGTGGTGTCAGTGTGGCGTCAGTGTGGTGGCAGTGTGGTGGCAGTGGTGCCAGTGTGGCGTCAGTGTGGTGTCAGTGTGGCGTCAGTGTGGTGGCAGTGTGGCGGCAGTGTGGTGGCAGTGTGGTGTCAGTGTGGCGTCAGTGTGGTGGCAGTGTGGCGGCAGTGTGGTGGCAGTGTGGCGGCAGTGTGGCGGCAGTGTGGTGGCAGTGGTGCCAGTGTGGCGTCAGTGTGGTGTCAGTGTGGCGGCAGTGTGGCGGCAGTGTGGTGGCAGTGTGGCGGCAGTGTGGCGGCAGTGTGGTGGCAGTGTGGCGGCAGTGTGGTGGCAGTGGTGCCAGTGTGGTGTCAGTGTGGCGTCAGTGTGGTGGCAGTGTGGCGGCAGTGTGGTGGCAGTGTGGTGTCAGTGTGGCGGCAGTGTGGTGTCAGTGTGGCGTCAGTGTGGCGGCAGTGTGGCGGCAGTGTGGTGTCAGTGTGGTGTCAGTGTGGCGTCAGTGTGGCGGCAGTGTGGTGTCAGTGTGGCGTCAGTGTGGCGGCAGTGTGGTGGCAGTGGTGCCAGTGTGGTGTCAATGTGGCGTCAGTGTGGTGGCAGTGGTGTCAGTGTGGTGTCAGTGTGGCGGCAGTGTGGTGGCAGTGTGGTGTCAATGTGGCGTCAGTGTGGTGGCAGTGGTGTCAGTGTGGTGTCAGTGTGGCGGCAGTGTGGCGGCAGTGTGGTGTCAGTGTGGCGGCAGTGTGGCGGCAGTGTGGCGACAGTGTGGTTCCAGTGTGGTGTCAGTGTGGTTCCAGTGTGGTGTCAGAACCTGTTGTGCCGTCTGGATGGTGTGGTTCTCCAGCTCCAGCATCTGGAAGCCCTGCAGAAGAGCTTCTTCGGTGGACTCGGGGAGAGTGGCTGAGAAACACGAGCGCAGAGAGCGAGACGTCAGACCGCAGATGTCCTCGATCGGCAGCTGAGGAAACATTCACAAATATTAAACATTAAATGTAATATTCAACAATAATATTGAATGTTGATCTGATTGGTCTTGTTGAAAGGTCACGCGTGACGTATGCAGAAGAACCGCAGTAGGGCGAAAAACTCCCATATAATTTTCACCTCCAACTGCAAAATCGTCAGACATCATTGTTTTACCTATTTTTGTAAAGGGCGTTTGACTTAGTCTTTGCACGTTCGCTTTGTAAATATTGGATGGCACTTTCGCCTACGTCATGCTTGAGCTTTCAACGTGATTACGTAATGTGTGTCGCATCACAGCTCGTGCAAGACCAGCATTAATGGTTAAAAGTATATAAATGTGTATTTTGTTATAAATGTCGGCTGGTTTGTCTAGATCAGACTCTTATTCCTCGGCTGGATCGTGTCGAGACTTTGAAGCTGCACTGAAACTCACATCTGGACCTTCGACCCGTTGGACCCCATTGAAGTCACTAAACATCCTGAAGTGTTTTCCTCAAAAACCTTCATTTCTTTTCGACTACAGCAAAATAGCCATTACTATCAATCAAGAAGACATCAACACAATTCAGTCAGTAACACTTTATTTCGATGGTCCACTATAGTTCTACTAACTACAAGTAACTTTACAACTACATGTCAGCTTATCCTACTAACCCGAACCTAACAGTACTAATACTCTAATGAGAGTTAGTTGACAATTTACTTATAGTTAGTAGTGTCTTGAAATTAAGTGCAACCATTTATTAAGACGAAGGAAAGTTTGTTGCAATAGATTGTTAAAGAAAGATCCGCAAGAACAAATAGTTTACAAACTAAACATTTGACAAAAAAAAGTTTCATTCAAAGGTTCATTAAAATAGCATACTTAAAAAAAGGAAACATTGTAAAAATCATTATATTTTTAAAGGTTAAAATGACTTAATATCTCATTATTAATTGGAATGGGTTTTTTTTAGATGCGACAGATATATAATCATACTTGTGCGACTCTAAAATATAAAAAGAAAGCTATATATTTATGTACAACGAGTGAAAAATGTATAAGTTATTATTTTTTACACTTTTACCCTGTTTTTCACTAAACCTCCCCCCAGTTTAAAACCCCCTTAATTATGTCATAGGGGTTCTGCTGGTTTATGAACCCTTGCTTAAACAAAACTTAAGCCATTTTAATAGTTATCAAAGTTAAATGCAAGTCTTGTTTAGCTAAACAGACATATTTGCATACTGAATGGATGTTATACGTGGCATGCTTCCACACACACACACACACACACACACACACACACACACACACACACACACACACACACACACACACACACACACACACACACACACACACACACACACACACATTAACAGATCGTAACACACTCTATCTAGCCAGGGCTTGAGCTGACCCGAGTGCACTACAGAGCAGAAGTGTGTGTATAAATGAGAATGTTGTGTGTATGATGTTAGCAGACTCGCCTCAGCGGGAAGAAGCGTCTCTTCTGCGGCTGCGCGGATCTCCAGAACCGAGTCGGTCTGTTTGTCCGTTAACGGCGCCATTGGATCAGCACGACGGTCCCAGTGTGAGAGTTTCTCTCGGGTTTCTTTATCAGTGAGTTCTAGGAGACTCTGTTCTGTGGAAGACGCCATCATGGACAACAACACTCGACGTCAGCACGTCACCTACACGGACGCTACTTCCGCGTTGGGCGGAGTCAATGCACCGGCGACCAATCAGTGAACGGCGTTCACTTCCTCGTCACCACCAGATAATAATTTCATTTATAAACAACATTATATTTCAGATATATTGAAATAAAAAAAAAAAAACAGAGTAGATTTGTAAAGAAATTCACGTATTATGGTTGTAGAAAATATATTCTACTAAAATATGACTTTTTAATGTTTTTGAAAGTCTCTTCTGCTCAGCAACGCTGCATTAATTTGATAAAAAATACAGTAAAACAGTGTAATATTACTCCAGTGTAAATCAGCTGTTCTCTATGTGAATATACAGTAAAGTGTAATTTATTCCTGTGATCAAAGCTGAATTTTCAGCATCATTACTCCAGTCTTCAGTGTCACATGATCCTTCAGAAATCACTCTAATATGAGGATCTGATGCTCAAGACACATTTATGATTATTATCAGTGTTGAAAACGGTTGAGCTGCTTCATATTTTTGTGGAAACTGCAACTTTTTCAGGATTCATTGATGAATAAAAAACAAAAAAGAACAGCATTTATTTAAAAAGAAATCTTATATAAAGACATATTTATAAACACACACAAGATATTAATGATTGGAGCCTATAAAGCTTAACTTTACTATAAAAACTGTAACATGTTTCATTTTAATCTTCTTCAGTATTTTAATCTTCCATTGTACACGACAAATATCTGAATGTTTTGGAGAGTCATCATATTTAATATTCAGAGGCATTCACACTGATATTGGGACAAACTAGTTTATTATTCAAGGGCAGAACATTTTTCAACAAAAAAAATTAACTCAGGAAAAAAAAAACATTTGAAATACAAAATATAATTGTAACACTGTACATTGAACAAGATGTTAGAAGCATTTCCAGAAAAGGGCACAAAAAAAGGAGAAGTAAATGAAATCATGCATAAGTGCAGCTCAATCTGCAATACCACAGTTCTAACAAAACATTGATTTATTGTTCAACTGATTATTAACGAGCATCCCTTTATCAACACAAACCTCAGTTAAATAATTACTCGACTATAAAGGATATATATCCATACTTTCATGTCACACATGATAAGCAAAGTGGGACCAAAACAATTAAATTAATCAACTGAAACGTCACAGTTTTCTTGCAGAGTAAAGCCGACACAGGAGTGCAGGAATGATGTCTGACACGAGTGTAATAAGACTGGTAAAGTTAAAGGGCTGTATGCAACAATAGTATCCAGCTGCAGACCCGCAGCACCACCAGTTTCAGAACCCCAGCGCCAGAACCGGGAGTAAGGGGCGGAGCTTACGTTCTAACACCAGCGCCAGGACCGGAAGTGAGGGGCGGAGCTTACGTTCTAAACCGAGTAACGCCACCTAACGTTTTGGAGCGTAATTTGCTTAGACACGAAACGGCATTTTTACACACGAAACGTCATACTTTATTCGTATTATAATGATACATTAAGGTATAGTACAATAAGCATTTTAAAACATTGATTTTGTGTAATATAATTCTATATAGTTATCCGTTTCATTGTATTATGAGAGTTACTTCCTGATCATGATGGTGAAAAATAATACTTGAAACTTATGGTCATTTTATATAAAATATACTTTATTTCACAAGAACATGTGCAGCATGCATTTTTCTTTATGTAAAATAATGTCAAAAATCTAAAAAGAGAGAGAAAATCCGGCATTGTTTTAAAAGAAACAATAAAAATGTACCGTACTTGTCTCCTTTACACGCCTGGTGTGGCTGCAGGTCTGGGTAAATAAAGGCCGGTCTCAAATAGAGGTCGGGTCTGTTTTTTAGTTTCAGGTTGTATTAAATCTTCTAAAACCCGTCAGATCGTCCGCTTTTTGGCGGCCGCCAAAGCAAATTTGTGTCCCGCCAAAGCCTATTTTGATCGGTGAGTGATGTAGAATAGAATGACTGCTGCGCATGACAGGGCAGAGCAGAGAGAGAGAGAGCCCTGGCCGCGCGCGCGCACTCTTACGTCTTCAACCAACACGAGCGCTGTCTTGCTCTTTATTTGTCACATACCAGTTATAGTTCATACAAGGAGCAGTGACTCACTGTGTAATAAAAACATACCCTAAATATTATTTAAAAGGTGCAACAATTTTAAATATTTTCAAATACTTGCAAAAATAACCATGCTTGTGTCATTGTAAATAATTCCGCCCCTCCCTCACTTCCGGTTCTGGCGCTGGGGTTCTGGCACTGGGGTTCTGAAACTGGTGGTGCTGCGGGTCTGCAGCTGGATATATCTCGTATGCAAGAACTGGTCATGTATTAATCACTTTTTTTATTGCCAATGTGTGAACTAGCTTGTGTCCGCAACAGAATAAAAAAATAGAAAAGGTAATTGTGACTTTTTATCTCACAAATCTGACTTTGTATCTCACAATAGCTTGTTTTCATATGACGTCACGCCACTGCGTTGCCATGGCGCGAAATGCAAATGGAGGGCAGGAAGTGATTTGCTGTATTTAGAAAGCACTATAACAAACTCAAAATGCCTATGTTTTGCGTCGTTTATGGTTACTTAAATCGATCAAACCACGAGGAGTTTTTATCGTGTACCAAAAGTTGTTGTTCATAAGGGGGAAAAATGCAAGAAATTGACCGAAAAACTCCGGAAAAACGGCTTGCAAACCTACGGCCAGAGCTGCCAACTCTCACGCATTGGCCGTGAGACACCCGCATTTGATTGGTTTCACACGCTCACACGCCACACTCCCGATTTCTCACGCTGAAGTGTCAACCCGGCCGGTCAAATGCCTGAAAGATGAGTTTATCTACAGATGTACCTGTTGAGCCACTCGTGATCGACTAGTTATACCGCAAATTCGTTAAAAATCTCCCGCAATCTAGAGCGAGCGTGCATGGGAGACAGAGATTGTGCTCCAAACCGCGTAGAGCGAGCGAGAGACCTTACGTGGGCATAGATAGAGCATTCACCTACCCGTGTGTGCAGTGATCACTTCATCAAATGTGAGTTTGGCTATGTTTGTGTAATGTGTAACGTTTCCGAACTTTGTAAAGTCAAAGTATGTCTGTAAGACGAGGTAGTTGCTGATATCTACCGCCTCGATGGCAGGAAAATCTTTCAATTCAGTTGAAAATCGCTCCTCTTCATAACGTAAGGATCACGTCCAACATATGTTTGATTTTTTGTTTATATCTTTCTCTTGTAATAGCTGTAAAGTAGTACAGTACGGACTTTCCTCCATCTCGTCCATTGCGCTCTTCACTCCCTGCCCTCCATCTGAATTTGGCGCGTCATCATAATCACGTGACTGAAACCCAGCTATTGTGACTTTTCCTCAGAATTGCTTGTTTTTATCTCGCAATTGTAACTTTTTTCCTCAGAATTGCTTGTTTTTATCTCACAATTGTGACTTTTTTCCTCAGAATTGCTTGTTTTTATCTCACAATTGTGACTTTTTTCCTCAGAATTGCTTATTTTTATCTCGCAATTGTGACTTTTTTCCTCAGAATTGCTTGTTTTTATCTCGCAATTGTGACTTTTTTCCTCAGAATTGCTTGTTTTTATCTCACAATTGTGACTTTTTTCCTCAGAATTGCTTATTTTTATCTCGCAATTGTGACTTTTTTCCTCAGAATTGCTTGTTTTTATCTCACAATTGTGACTTTTTTCCTCAGAATTGCTTGTTTTTATCTCGCAATTGTGACTTTTTTCCTCAGAATTGCTTGTTTTTATCTCACAATTGTGACTTTTTTCCTCAGAATTGCTTGTTTTTATCTCACAATTGACTTTTTTCCTCAGAATTGCTTGTTTTTATCTCGCAATTGTGACTTTTTTCCTCAGAATTGCTTGTTTTTATCCCGCAATTGTGACTTTTTTCCTCAGAATTGCTTGTTTTTATCTCACAATTGACTTTTTTCCTCAGAATTGCTTGTTTTTATCTCGCAGTTGTGACTTTTTTCCTCAGAATTGCTTGTTTTTATCTCGCAGTTGTGACTTTTTTCCTCAGAATTGCTTGTTTTTATCTCACAATTGACTTTTTTCCTCAGAATTGCTTGTTTTTAACTCGCAATTATGACTTTTTTCCTCAGAATTGCTTGTTTTTATCTCACAATTGACTTTTTTCCTCAGAATTGCTTGTTTTTATCTCGCAATTATGACTTTTTTCCTCAGAATTGCTTGTTTTTATCTCACAATTGACTTTTTTCCTCAGAATTGCTTGTTTTTATCTCGCAATTGTGACTTTTTTCCTCAGAATTGCTTGTTTTTATCTCACAATTGTGACTTTTTTCCTCAGAATTGCTTGTTTTTATCTCGCAATTGTGACTTTTTTCCTCAGAATTGCTTGTTTTTATCTCGCAATTGTGACTTTTTTTCCTCAGAATTGCTTGTTTTTATCTCACAATTGACTTTTTTCCTCAGAATTGCTTGTTTTTATCTCGCAATTGACTTTTTTCCTCAGAATTGCTTGTTTTTATCTCACAATTGTGACTTTTCCTCAGAATTGCTTGTTTTTATCTCGCAATTGTAACTTTTTTCCTCAGAATTGCTTGTTTTTATCTCACAATTGTGACTTTTTTCCTCAGAATTGCTTGTTTTTATCTCACAATTGTGACTTTTTTCCTCAGAATTGCTTATTTTTATCTCGCAATTGTGACTTTTTTCCTCAGAATTGCTTGTTTTTATCTCGCAATTGTGACTTTTTTCCTCAGAATTGCTTGTTTTTATCTCACAATTGTGACTTTTTTCCTCAGAATTGCTTATTTTTATCTCGCAATTGTGACTTTTTTCCTCAGAATTGCTTGTTTTTATCTCACAATTGTGACTTTTTTCCTCAGAATTGCTTGTTTTTATCTCGCAATTGTGACTTTTTTCCTCAGAATTGCTTGTTTTTATCTCGCAATTGTGACTTTTTTCCTCAGAATTGCTTGTTTTTATCTCACAATTGTGACTTTTTTCCTCAGAATTGCTTGTTTTTATCTCACAATTGACTTTTTTCCTCAGAATTGCTTGTTTTTATCTCGCAATTGTGACTTTTTTCCTCAGAATTGCTTGTTTTAATCCCGCAATTGTGACTTTTTTCCTCAGAATTGCTTGTTTTTATCTCGCAGTTGTGACTTTTTTCCTCAGAATTGCTTGTTTTTATCTCACAATTGACTTTTTTCCTCAGAATTGCTTGTTTTTATCTCGCAATTATGACTTTTTTCCTCAGAATTGCTTGTTTTTATCTCACAATTGACTTTTTTCCTCAGAATTGCTTGTTTTTATCTCGCAATTATGACTTTTTTCCTCAGAATTGCTTGTTTTTATCTCACAATTGACTTTTTTCCTCAGAATTGCTTGTTTTTATCTCGCAATTGTGACTTTTTTCCTCAGAATTGCTTGTTTTTATCTCACAATTGTGACTTTTTTCCTCAGAATTGCTTGTTTTTATCTCACAATTGTGACTTTTTTCCTCAGAATTGCTTGTTTTTATCTCGCAATTGTGACTTTTTTCCTCAGAATTGCTTGTTTTTATCTCGCAATTGTGACTTTTTTTCCTCAGAATTGCTTGTTTTTATCTCACAATTGACTTTTTTCCTCAGAATTGCTTGTTTTTATCTCGCAATTGACTTTTTTCCTCAGAATTGCTTGTTTTTATCTCACAATTGTGACTTTTCCTCAGAATTGCTTGTTTTTATCTCGCAATTGTAACTTTTTTCCTCAGAATTGCTTGTTTTTATCTCACAATTGTGACTTTTTTCCTCAGAATTGCTTGTTTTTATCTCACAATTGTGACTTTTTTCCTCAGAATTGCTTATTTTTATCTCGCAATTGTGACTTTTTTCCTCAGAATTGCTTGTTTTTATCTCGCAATTGTGACTTTTTTCCTCAGAATTGCTTGTTTTTATCTCACAATTGTGACTTTTTTCCTCAGAATTGCTTATTTTTATCTCGCAATTGTGACTTTTTTCCTCAGAATTGCTTGTTTTTCTCACAATTGTGACTTTTTTCCTCAGAATTGCTTGTTTTTATCTCGCAATTGTGACTTTTTTCCTCAGAATTGCTTGTTTTTATCTCACAATTGTGACTTTTTTCCTCAGAATTGCTTGTTTTTATCTCACAATTGACTTTTTTCCTCAGAATTGCTTGTTTTTATCTCGCAATTGTGACTTTTTTCCTCAGAATTGCTTGTTTTTATCCCGCAATTGTGACTTTTTTCCTCAGAATTGCTTGTTTTTATCTCGCAATTATGACTTTTTTCCTCAGAATTGCTTGTTTTTATCTCGCAATTGTGACTTTTTTCCTCAGAATTGCTTGTTTTTATCCCGCAATTGTGACTTTTTTCCTCAGAATTGCTTGTTTTTATCCCGCAATTGTGACTTTTTTCCTCAGAATTGCTTGTTTTTATCTCGCAATTGTGACTTTTTTCCTCAGAATTGCTTGTTTTTATCTCGCAATTGTGACTTTTTTCCTCAGAATTGCTTGTTTTTATCCCGCAATTGTGACTTTTTTCCTCAGAATTGCTTGTTTTTATCCCGCAATTGTGACTTTTTTCCTCAGAATTGCTTGTTTTTATCTCGCAATTGTGACTTTTTTCCTCAGAATTGCTTGTTTTTATCTCGCAATTGTGACTTTTTTCCTCAGAATTGCTTGTTTTTATCCCGCAATTGTGACTTTTTTCCTCAGAATTGCTTGTTTTTATCTCGCAATTATGACTTTTTTCCTCAGAATTGCTTGTTTTTATCCCGCAATTATGACTTTTTTCCTCAGAATTGCTTGTTTTTATCTCACAATTGACTTTTTTCCTCAGAATTGCTTGTTTTTATCTCGCAATTATGACTTTTTTCCTCAGAATTGCTTGTTTTTATCTCACAATTGACTTTTTTCCTCAGAATTGCTTGTTTTTATCTCGCAATTGTGACTTTTTTCCTCAGAATTGCTTGTTTTTATCTCACAATTGTGACTTTTTTCCTCAGAATTGCTTGTTTTTATCTCACAATTGTGACTTTTTTCCTCAGAATTGCTTGTTTTTATCTCGCAATTGTGACTTTTTTCCTCAGAATTGCTTGTTTTTATCTCGCAATTGTGACTTTTTTTCCTCAGAATTGCTTGTTTTTATCTCACAATTGACTTTTTTCCTCAGAATTGCTTGTTTTTATCTCGCAATTGACTTTTTTCCTCAGAATTGCTTGTTTTTATCTCGCAATTGTGACTTTTTTCCTCAGAATTGCTTGTTTTTATCTCACAATTGACTTTTTTCCTCAGAATTGCTTGTTTTTATCTCACAATTGTGACTTGCTTGTTTTTATCTCACAATTGTGACTTTTTTCCTCAGAATTGCTTGTTTTTATCTCGCAATTGTGACTTTTTTCCTCAGAATTGCTTGTTTTTATCTCGCAATTGTGACTTTTTTCCTCAGAATTGCTTGTTTTTATCTCACAATTGTGACTTTTTTCCTCAGAATTGCTTGTTTTTATCTCACAATTGACTTTTTTCCTCAGAATTGCTTGTTTTTATCTCGCAATTGTGACTTTTTTCCTCAGAATTGCTTGTTTTTATCTCGCAATTGTGACTTTTTTCCTCAGAATTGCTTGTTTTTATCTCACAATTGTGACTTTTCCTCAGAATTGCTTGTTTTTATCTCGCAATTGTGACTTTTTTCCTCAGAATTGCTTGTTTTTATATCGCAATTGTGACTTTTTTCCTCAGAATTGCTTGTTTTTATATCGCAATTGACTTTTTTCCTCAGAATTGCTTGTTTTTATCTCAATTGTGACTTTTTTCCTCAGAATTGCTTGTTTTTATATCGCAATTGACTTTTTTCCTCAGAATTGCTTGTTTTTATCTCACAAATCTGACTTTGTATCTCACAATTGTGACTTTTCCTCAAAATTGCTTGTTTTTTTTCTCACAATTATGACTTTTTTCCTCAGAATTGCTTGTTTTTATATCGCAATTGTGACTTTTTTCCTCAGAATTGCTTGTTTTTATATCGCAATTGTGACTTTTCCTCAGAATTGCTTGTTTTTATCTCACAATTGTGACTTTTTTTCCTCAGAATTGCTTGTTTTTATATCGCAATTCTGACTTTATAACACACAATTCTGAGAAATAAAGTGGCAAATATCTTTTAAAATGTTTTATTCTGTGGCAGAAACAAGCTTCCATAGAGAACGTTGTCTCTGAAAACCTGTCGACTGAGGTTTAAGTTTATAACAAGGGTTTCTCAATCCTACATACAGACCCTTTAACACAATGTTGTACAAAATTGTAATAAAAAAGGGAAAATAACCTTATTTCCAAGATAAACCAGTTTTATGTAACCTGTGTCTATAGTTGAGGAGGTTCAGCACTGAAGATGCAACAAAACCTGTGCTGTATTTTCCTTTTTCCTTTTGTTTGTTTGGGGATATCTTCATTCAAATCATTGTTTGTTCTAATATTGCGGATCAGAAGAGTAAATCGTGTCTAAGCACTGATTCCAGTTCATGAATAATGTCTTACGGATCACCGTACTAAACCCTAAAGAACGAGTAAATAAAGTGACTGGAGGTGCAGGAGACAGAAGAGCCGTAAGTAACTCTGCTCGGATGTCAACTACTACCATTCAAGGTGCTTAATTATGGAATGTAGAGCAAGCGAATATTATTAGGGAAACCGGGAATAGTATAGTGAACTAATTCTATTTTCTTGTGTGGGTTTGAAGAGCCGTTCCACTCCTGCATTAACATCCGTCTCATCTGTCAGAAACACGTCACTGTTCAGCTCAACACAATCATATAACTCATAGATCTCGCTCAGATCATTGATTATATTAAGAATTGCAAAAAAAATTTATGGCGAGTTTTCTGAAATGTTTAAATATGCAAATGAGGCATTATCTGATTAAAAATGCACTACTTTGCATACATCACCAGAGCAAAAATCACTGGATAAATCCAGATTCGTAATTCCTGTTTGATTTTGTCCCCATATTAAAGGTTTTTACAGCATTTTTGCTCTTAAATACTGTCAACACCTGTCAAAAATCTGAATATAGATATATAGTATGTAAAGAGATGTGTTTCGGCCTGTTTTGACGGGTACACTGACGTCATCTGAGACGCATGCTAACAGCAGGTGTGTGGCGGAGGCTCGTGACGTGGGTTCAGTTGTGCGGGTCGCCGGTCTCCAGGTGGTCGGGAATGGGCAGCCCGGTCAGGACGGTCAAGCACTTGTTCCACACGCTGAAGACGGGGCAGATGGGCTGAGAGAAGGAGATGTCGAAGGTGTGGAGGTGTTGTGTTCCTGCGGCGTCGTAGAACGCCAGCGACCCGGAGTCGTAGTCCAGCAGAACCCCCAGGCGCCGCATGTGAGGAGACGGCTCGATGGGGAACTCTTTGCTGTTGTGACGCACGGCCCACGAGGTGTTGCAGCGGCTCAAGACCCACGACGTCGAGTCCTTCCCCACCCAGCCGTGTTTGGGAGCCGATTTGTATGCGACGCCAATCGCAAACCTGTGAGGAATTACAGAGCTCTCATAACAGCTGTGACAGTTCAGACCTATTAGAGACGTCAGTTCTGCTCACCAAGGCTGATGCAGTACAAACAGTGAAACAGCTAGGGCTGGGTAACGATCAAATGCATCCAAAATAAAAACATTTTCATAATGTCTACATGTGTGTCTGAATGCACACTGAAGAAACTGGCTTTAGGACCCAGCGGAACAGCTCCTCTGCTCCATCTATAAGCCCGTATAGAGTCGTGAAATATCATGTTATAATATTTTATTCCTCGAGAGCTCGGCAAAGACTCCCAATGTAAGATATTTAGAGCTGAATTAAAAGGATTATGCACGAAATTGTGAGTTATTTAGAATTTAAATTGAAAGAATGAAGAATGTGCTTAAATTACTCATTTATTAATCAAATCTAGTAATTTAAAGGTAAATAAAACAAAAAATAACAAAAAACTGCATAATTTTTTTTTATATATATATAAAATTAGCTTTCTGAAAAAAAAAGACTAATTTTAGGGCTTCGGGTCGAAGCCCTAAAGGAAAGGATGTGTGTGTGTGTGTGTGTGTGTGTGTGTGTGTGTGTGTTACCACGTGCTCCCCCCGATCAGAACCTCCCAGTAGTGGCGTCCGCTGTCGATGAACACGTTCCCGGTGACGCCGTAGTTCCCGGAGCCGAAGCGGTCCTGGGCGTGGCTCTTCATGGACGAGGCTTCGTCGCGCTCCACCGTCAGGCTGTCGTGGGAAACCTTCAGCTTTCGGTGGGCCGACTTCGGGTCGAGCTTGAACGGCTGGCCTGAGATTCAACAACAACGTCAACTCGCCTTCATCTATACAGCGACACACACACGTCTCCTTCATCTATACAGCGCTGTAACAATATAGAGTTTCACAGCAGCTTTACAGTGATAACAGGAGATTACAGTAACAGTGTTTAGGCTTTACAGCAGCTCTAGAATAGAGTTATTGTCCAGATAAAGTTAGTTTTGATTGATTCACTTCCGTTGTAAAGATCATTAGTTATTAACTTAGCGGCCGCTGACACGACACCGCGCTACAGAACACAGAGACTTTAATGTGTTCCGGACGTTCATTCACACAGCAGTGTTTGAGCTCGAGAACACACACTCTGAGCTCGAGAACACACACTCTGAGCTCGAGAACACACACTCTGAGCTCGAGAACACACTCTGAAACAGGATCCAAGGCGCAAGTTTTAAGACATGAGTGTGTGTGACCTCAGAATAAACACCTTCAGGGGCGTGTGTGTGTGTGTGTGTGTGTGAGAGAGAGAGGGAACTCAGAATAAAACCCTTCAGGTGTGTGTGTGTGTGTGTGTGTGTGTGTGAGAGAGGGAACTCAGAATAAAACCCTTCAGGTGTGTGTGTGTGTGTGTGTGTGTGTGTGTGTGTGAGAGAGAGGGAACTCAGAATAAAACCCTTCAGGTGTGTGTGTGTGTGTGTGTGTGTGTGTGTGTGTGTGTGTGTGTGTGAGAGAGAGGGAACTCAGAATAAAACCCTTCAGGTGTGTGTGTGTGTGTGTGTGTGTGTGTGTGTGAGAGAGAGAGAGAGGGAACTCAGAATAAAACCCTTCAGGTGTGTGTGTGTGTGTGTGTGTGTGTGTGTGTGTGTGTGTGAGAGAGAGAGAGAGGGAACTCAGAATAAAACCCTTCAGGTGTGTGTGTGTGTGTGTGTGGCCTGGTAAACCCTACGTTATGGGGACAAAATGTCCCCACAAGTATGGCAATATCCGAAATCCTTGTTCGTGTGGGGACATTTTTTGGTCCCCATGAGGAAATCAGCTTATAAATCATACTAAGTGATGTTGTTTGAAAATGTAAAAATGCAGAATGTTTCCTGTGATGGGTAGGTTTAGGGATAGGGTTAGTGTAAGGGAATAGAATATACAGTCGGTACAGTATAAAAATCATTATGTCTATGGAAAGTCCCCATAAAACATGAAAACACAACATGTGTGTGTGTGTGTGTGTGTGTGTGTGTGTGTGTGTGTGTGTGTGTGTGTGTGTGTGTGTGTGTGAAATCTCAGAATAAACCCCTTCAGGTGTGTGTGTGTGTGTGTGTGTGACCTCAGAATAAACCCCTTCAGTTGTGAGTGTGTGTGTGTGTGTGACCTCAGAATAAACCCCTTCAGTTGTGAGTGTGTGTGTGTGTGTGATCTCAGAATAAACCCCCTTAAGAGGTATGTGTGTGAGTGACCTCAGAATAAACACCTTCAGGAGTGTGTGTGAGTGTGTGTGTGTGTGTGTGTGTGAGTGTGTGAGAGAGAGGGAACTCAGAATAAACCCCTTCAGGAGTGTGTGTGAGTGTGTGTGAGTGACCTCAGAATAAACACCTTCAGGGTTGTGTGTGTGTGTGTGTGTGTGTGTGTGTGTGTGTGAGTGTGTGAGAGAGAGGGAACTCAGAATAAACCCCTTCAGGGGTGTGTGTGTGTGTGTGTGTGTGTGTGTGTGTGTGTGTGTGTGTGTGTGTGTGTGTGTGTGTGTGTGTGTGTGTGTGTCAGGCGGATGGAGACCTGGTCCTGATCACCCTGTCGGGTTTATTCTGAGATAACAGCCGGCTGGATCTACATGATCCCTCACCAACTTCTGAATCCTATAGTAAGTGTGAGGATGTCCTGCTAGTCAGATGTGCGCTCACTGTTGGTCTTGAGCTTCCCCGGCGCGCTGCTGCGACTGCCGGCCTGGTTCATGGCCTTCACGATGAAGATGTAGCGGGTGCCGCTCTGCAGGCCGTGGACGGTGTAGTGGTTCTGCTTAATGTTGGGCGCGATCATCCAGCTGTCCAGCGAGTTACACAGACCTGCAACCACACGAGCGTCAGCACAGTTCTGGAGCGCAGGTCCACCACACCGAACACCTCATCATGATGTCACTTCCTAGCTGGAGTGAGTGTGTGATGATCATAAACAACATCTGCACAGTTACGACTCAAAGCTCAGAGCAAAGGGAGAGTTCGCTTCCTCCCGGGTTAGTGACATCACAAACCCTAACATTTACATAAGCCCCGCCTCCGGGAACACGAGTTATAGATGATCATGACAGATCAATGACTAGACGATAACTCCACATCAGCAACATAAACTCATCAACTAACATTCAGAAATGTCCTGTTGCTCTACATGTTCTTGAATCTCTCCATGTTTGTCTGACTTCGGTTTGAAAATATCAAAAACTTTTAGCCTTTTATGTTCAGTGTGTGTGTGTGTGTGTGAAGTAAAAGGACATGAGCTGTTGTAGCTCCGCCCCCTGTGCTGGGATCTGCGGCTCATTTGCATTTAAAGGGACACACACAAAAACAGTGCGTTTTTGGTCACCCTCAAAAAGTGACAACTTTAACATGCTATATGAAAATATCTGTGGGGTGTTTTGAGCTAAACTTCACACACACACACACACACACACACACACACACACACACACACACACACACACACGGGACATCAGAGACTTATTCAACATCTTGTGGAAAGAGGATTATACCACCCCTCTAAAACACTCAACACCCCCAAAGAACTTTCAAATTATAAGGTCTTTCTTTTCTCTACCTTTTATTTTTTTTCTTCATCTATCCTTATATTGTTGTTTGTCTGTGTTTTGTTTTAGTTGATATGTGTATTTTGTTGAATTTCTGTATGTATTCCTGCAATAAAAAAACTAGAGAAGGACGATACATTGATATTCTTTAAGGGTTTATATCCAGCTGTTACAAGATCATTTCAGACATCGTTTAGTATTGCTGCAACTACGTGTATATATGACTAGAATCTTTTTCTGACTTTTATTCTTTCTTTTGCAGCCCAAAATGACTGAATATGCTTTTCTCAAAAACTGCAGTGATATTTGTGTTTTGCAACGAAAACTGACCAATAATCGTTATGCATTGTTGTCATTAGCATTAGTGACCGTAAAAATACAGTTACCTGTACATGAGCATAATCACTGAAATCAACTGTGTTCAAGTCAACAGCGTAGAAATATTCCTTTCTGCTTTTTTGCATTCGATGATTATGATGATTACTAGCAATACTCACCCCATGTTCAGTTGCGTAAAGCAGAGTCCATAACCTTAAGTGTGGATGGCTCTGCTTTGAAATTGCAAACTAAACTAAAAAATCTGGGGGTGATATTTGACACCAATTTAACATTTAACCATCATGTTCGTAACACAGTCAAAACATCATTTTTTCGTCTCAGAAACATTGCCAAATTACGCTCTATGTTGACCTTCTCTGTGGCTGAAAAGTTAATCAACACTTTTGTTTTTTCACGTATTGATTATTGTAATGCTTTGCTGGCTGGGGTTTCTAAAGCTTCCCTGAGTAAATTACAGTTGGTACAAAATTCGGCTGCTAGGGTTCTGACTGGGACCAGTGCGAGGGAGCACATTACACCAATCCTGGAAAAACTGCACTGGCTTCCTGTTAGTTTTCGTATTGATTTTAAAATTCTCATGCTCACCTATAAGGCCTTGAATAACTTGGCCCCTCAATATTTGTGTGAGCTCTTAACCCCCTACACTCCTACACGTGCTTTACGATCTTCTGAAGCTGGTCTTTTAACTGTCCAAACAACACGGCTAAAAACTATGGGTGATCGGGCTTTTTCTTCTTTGGCTCCTAAATTGTGGAATTCCCTGCCCTCTGAGATTAGGAATCCAGAATCCCTTAGAGTTTTTAAATCGTCCCTTAAAACATACTTTTTTAGGGTGGCTTTTATGTGATTCGTGTGATTGCGGTGTTTGTTATTATATCGGCCTTCTATTTTTATTGCTTGTTTGTTTTTACTGCCTAGACTGTTCTTTCTGTTTCTTTCTATTTTCATTATTTTTATGTAAAGTGCTTTGAGAATGCTACTTTTAAAGGCACTATATAAAATAAAGTTTATTATTATTATTATGTATACTCATGTATACATTTTATTTAATCCACAAAAGATATAGATTTTATACATAACATAAACTGTATAAATTGGCCGGATATGGTGATCTTATGATCGATGCATTATTTCAATTTCCAAATTTGCAATTCAAAAAATGTATATATATGTGTATATATATATATATATATACACACACACCATATATACTGTATACATACAGATAGAGATTTTTTTTTTTGTGGAAAAATGTTGTAATTGTAACCTGGAAATTCAAATAATGCATCGATTGCAAGATCACAAAATCCGGGCGGCACTGATGTTTATATATATATACACACAACAAATAAAATTCAGATCAATTCAAACAAATGATATTTGTGAATAAAGACTATGTCAGTCAGACGGGGATAGCGTGTCTGGAGTGTCTGTGCAGTGTGTGTAACGCAGAGCTGAGATGTTGTTGAGTGTCGGAGGAACAGATGCACGAGAGACGGCGGGTTTAATAAAACGACTTAAACGTCACACTCGTCCGCACACATGGGGATTGAGTGAGCAAAAGCATACAAGTAGACATCTATCACTGCCTCTCTCTCCACACACACACACACATGATCCTCACGGCAGCCAGAGATGCTCCTCGTGTCCCCGCGCTTCACTTCTGCGTTACACAGCGGCTCGCTGCTCTTTAAGCACGCCGTGACCTTATTCACTCAGTAAGCTTCTCTGTCTGCGTCTCTTCAGGCTAGTCTACGCTCATATTGTACAGATAATCTGCTCTACTTCTGTCTAATCCACACATCTACGCGGATACAAAACTCACACACACATTTCTGGCTGAATTCTGTTTTGCTTTTGTGTTATAATACCCTCACATCCCCCGCAGTGCTTTATGAAGCGCTGGATTTATAATAAAATCAAGTTCTGTTTTTCCAGATCATGCCATTAGAGTCGGATAAGGTGTGTTACAGACGGTGCGTTACAGACGGTGCTTTACAGACGGTGTGTTACAGACGGTGCGTTACAGACGGTGCGTTACAGACGGTGTGTTACAGACGGTGCGTTACAGACGGTGCGTTACAGACGGTGTGTTACAGATGGTGCGTTACAGACGGTGTGTTACAGACGGTGCGTTACAGACGGTGCGTTACAGACGGTGTGTTACAGACGGTGCGTTACAGACGGTGCGTTACAGACGGTGTGTTACAGACGGTGCGTTACAGACGGTGCGTTACAGACGGTGTGTTACAGACGGTGCGTTACAGACGGTGTTACAGACGGTGTGTTACAGACGGTGTGTTACAGACGGTGTGTTACAGACGGTGTGTTACAGACGGTGTGTTACAGACGGTGCGTTACAGACGGTGCGTTACAGACGGTGTGTTACAGACGGTGTGTTACAGACGGTGTTACAGACGGTGCGTTACAGACGGTGCGTTACAGACGGTGTTACAGACGGTGCGTTACAGACGGTGTTACAGACGGTGTTACAGACGGTGTGTTACAGACGGTGCGTTACAGACGGTGTTACAGACGGTGCGTTACAGACGGTGCGTTACAGACGGTGCGTTACAGACGGTGTGTTACAGACGGTGCGTTACAGACGGTGCGTTACAGACGGTGCGTTACAGACGGTGCGTTACAGACGGTGTGTTACAGACGGTGTGTTACAGACGGTGCGTTACAGACGGTGTGTTACAGACGGTGAGTTACAGACGGTGCGTTACAGACGGTGCGTTACAGACGGTGCGTTACAGACGGTGCGTTACAGACGGTGCGTTACAGACGGTGCGTTACAGACGGTGCGTTACAGACGGTGAGTTACAGACGGTGCGTTACAGACGGTGCGTTACAGACGGTGCGTTACAGACGGTGTGTTACAGACGGTGCGTTACAGACGGTGCGTTACAGACGGTGTTACAGACGGTGTGTTACAGACGGTGTGTTACAGACGGTGCGTTACAGACGGTGTGTTACAGACGGTGCGTTACAGACGGTGCGTTACAGACGGTGCGTTACAGACGGTGTGTTACAGACGGTGTGTTACAGACGGTGCGTTACAGACGGTGTGTTACAGACGGTGCGTTACAGACGGTGTGTTACAGACGGTGCGTTACAGACGGTGCGTTACAGACGGTGCGTTACAGACGGTGCGTTACAGACGGTGTGTTACAGACGGTGTGTTACAGACGGTGCGTTACAGACGGTGCGTTACAGACGGTGTGTTACAGACGGTGTGTTACAGACGGTGTGTTACAGACGGTGTTACAGACGGTGCGTTACAGACGGTGCGTTACAGACGGTGCGTTACAGACGGTGTGTTACAGACGGTGCGTTACAGACGGTGTGTTACAGACGGTGTGTTACAGACGGTGTTACAGACGGTGCGTTACAGACGGTGCGTTACAGACGGTGCGTTACAGACGGTGTGTTACAGACGGTGCGTTACAGATGGTGTGTTACAGACGGTGCGTTACAGACGGTGCGTTACAGACGGTGTGTTACAGACGGTGTGTTACAGACGGTGTGTTACAGACGGTGTGTTACAGACGGTGTGTTACAGACGGTGCGTTACAGACGGTGCGTTACAGACGGTGCGTTACAGACGGTGCGTTACAGACGGTGCGTTACAGACGGTGTGTTACAGATGGTGCGTTACAGACGGTGTGTTACAGACGGTGCGTTACAGACGGTGCGTTACAGACGGTGTGTTACAGACGGTGTGTTACAGACGGTGTGTTACAGACGGTGTTACAGACGGTGCGTTACAGACGGTGCGTTACAGACGGTGCGTTACAGACGGTGTGTTACAGACGGTGCGTTACAGACGGTGTGTTACAGACGGTGTGTTACAGACGGTGTTACAGACGGTGCGTTACAGACGGTGCGTTACAGACGGTGTGTTACAGACGGTGTGTTACAGACGGTGCGTTACAGACGGTGTGTTACAGACGGTGCGTTACAGACGGTGTGTTACAGACGGTGCGTTACAGACGGTGCGTTACAGACGGTGCGTTACAGACGGTGCGTTACAGACGGTGTGTTACAGACGGTGTGTTACAGACGGTGCGTTACAGACGGTGCGTTACAGACGGTGTGTTACAGACGGTGTGTTACAGACGGTGTGTTACAGACGGTGTTACAGACGGTGCGTTACAGACGGTGCGTTACAGACGGTGCGTTACAGACGGTGTGTTACAGACGGTGCGTTACAGACGGTGTGTTACAGACGGTGTGTTACAGACGGTGTTACAGACGGTGCGTTACAGACGGTGTGTTACAGACGGTGCGTTACAGACGGTGTGTTACAGACGGTGCGTTACAGACGGTGTGTTACAGACGGTGTGTTACAGACGGTGCGTTACAGACGGTGTGTTACAGACGGTGTGTTACAGACGGTGTGTTACAGACGGTGTGTTACAGACGGTGTGTTACAGACGGTGCGTTACAGACGGTGCGTTACAGACGGTGCGTTACAGACGGTGTGTTACAGACGGTGCGTTACAGACGGTGTGTTACAGACGGTGCGTTACAGACGGTGTGTTACAGACGGTGTGTTACAGACGGTGCGTTACAGACGGTGTGTTACAGACGGTGTGTTACAGACGGTGTGTTACAGACGGTGTGTTACAGACGGTGCGTTACAGACGGTGTGTTACAGACGGTGCGTTACAGACGGTGTGTTACAGACGGTGTGTTACAGACGGTGCGTTACAGACGGTGTGTTACAGACGGTGTGTTACAGACGGTGCGTTACAGACGGTGCGTTACAGACGGTGTGTTACAGACGGTGTGTTACAGACGGTGCGTTACAGACGGTGTGTTACAGACGGTGTGTTACAGACGGTGCGTTACAGACGGTGTGTTACAGACGGTGTGTTACAGACGGTGTTACAGACGGTGTGTTACAGACGGTGCGTTACAGACGGTGTGTTACAGACGGTGTTACAGACGGTGTGTTACAGACGGTGCGTTACAGACGGTGTGTTACAGACGGTGTGTTACAGACGGTGCGTTACAGACGGTGTGTTACAGACGGTGCGTTACAGACGGTGTTACAGACGGTGCGTTACAGACGGTGCGTTACAGACGGTGTGTTACAGACGGTGCGTTACAGACAGTGCGTTACAGACGGTGTGTTACAGACGGTGCGTTACAGACGGTGTGTTACAGACGGTGTGTTACAGACGGTGCGTTACAGACGGTGCGTTACAGACGGTGTGTTACAGACGGTGTGTTACAGACGGTGCGTTACAGACGGTGCGTTACAGACGGTGTGTTACAGACGGTGCGTTACAGACGGTGTGTTACAGACGGTGTGTTACAGACGGTGTGTTACAGACGGTGTGTTACAGACGGTGCGTTACAGACGGTGTGTTACAGACGGTGCGTTACAGACGGTGTTACAGACGGTGTTACAGACGGTGTGTTACAGACGGTGCGTTACAGACGGTGCGTTACAGACGGTGTGTTACAGACGGTGTGTTACAGACGGTGTGTTACAGACGGTGTTACAGACGGTGTGTTACAGACGGTGCGTTACAGACGGTGCGTTACAGACGGTGCGTTACAGACGGTGTGTTACAGACGGTGTGTTACAGACGGTGCGTTACAGACGGTGCGTTACAGACGGTGTTACAGACGGTGTGTTACAGACGGTGTGTTACAGACGGTGTTACAGACGGTGCGTTACAGACGGTGTGTTACAGACGGTGCGTTACAGACGGTGCGTTACAGACGGTGCGTTACAGACGGTGTGTTACAGACGGTGCGTTACAGACAGTGCGTTACAGACGGTGTGTTACAGACGGTGCGTTACAGACGGTGTGTTACAGACGGTGTGTTACAGACGGTGCGTTACAGACGGTGCGTTACAGACGGTGTGTTACAGACGGTGTGTTACAGACGGTGCGTTACAGACGGTGCGTTACAGACGGTGTGTTACAGACGGTGCGTTACAGACGGTGTGTTACAGACGGTGTGTTACAGACGGTGTGTTACAGACGGTGTTACAGACGGTGTGTTACAGACGGTGCGTTACAGACAGTGCGTTACAGACGGTGTGTTACAGACGGTGCGTTACAGACGGTGTGTTACAGACGGTGTGTTACAGACGGTGCGTTACAGACGGTGCGTTACAGACGGTGTGTTACAGACGGTGCGTTACAGACGGTGCGTTACAGACGGTGCGTTACAGACGGTGTGTTACAGACGGTGTGTTACAGACGGTGTGTTACAGACGGTGTGTTACAGACGGTGCGTTACAGACGGTGTGTTACAGACGGTGCGTTACAGACGGTGTGTTACAGACGGTGCGTTACAGACGGTGCGTTACAGACGGTGTGTTACAGACGGTGTGTTACAGACGGTGTGTTACAGACGGTGTGTTACAGACGGTGCGTTACAGACGGTGTGTTACAGACGGTGTGTTACAGACGGTGTGTTACAGACGGTGCGTTACAGACGGTGCGTTACAGACGGTGTGTTACAGACGGTGTGTTACAGACGGTGTGTTACAGACGGTGTTACAGACGGTGTGTTACAGACGGTGCGTTACAGACGGTGCGTTACAGACGGTGCGTTACAGACGGTGTTACAGACGGTGTGTTACAGACGGTGTGTTACAGACGGTGCGTTACAGACGGTGTTACAGACGGTGCGTTACAGACGGTGTGTTACAGACGGTGTTACAGACGGTGTGTTACAGACGGTGCGTTACAGACGGTGTGTTACAGACGGTGCGTTACAGACGGTGTGTTACAGACGGTGTGTTACAGACGGTGCGTTACAGACGGTGTGTTACAGACGGTGCGTTACAGACGGTGTGTTACAGACGGTGTTACAGACGGTGAGTTACAGACGGTGTGTTACAGACGGTGCGTTACAGACGGTGCGTTACAGACGGTGTGTTACAGACGGTGCGTTACAGACGGTGTGTTACAGACGGTGTGTTACAGACGGTGCGTTACAGACGGTGTGTTACAGACGGTGTGTTACAGACGGTGTGTTACAGACGGTGCGTTACAGACGGTGCGTTACAGACGGTGCGTTACAGACGGTGTGTTACAGACGGTGTGTTACAGACGGTGCGTTACAGACGGTGCGTTACAGATGGCTCATATGGAGCGAGCTTGGGTTTGTGTCGGCTGGGTTACTCACTGACGACGTTAGCCTGGCCGGTGGAGATGGTGTACTGGAGCTCGTATGAGACCACACTGAACTCGTCCTCTGATGTCCAGTGGACTGTGATGGTGTCGTGAGAGGCCGTGCAGAGCTCCTCGCGGATGGTGGGAGCGTTCGGAGCTGAGACAAAACAACACATTTCACACACATTTCAGGCCCAGAGACTTTACACTGCAAAAAATGCTTTTCTTACTCAGTATTTTTGTCTTGTTTCCAGTCCAAATATCTAGAAAATTCTTAAATCAAGATGCATTTACTAAAGTAGTAAAGTAGTCTTTTTTTTCTGGGTAAATAAATCAAAATTAAGTGAGTTGTTTCTTAAAACAAGCAACATTATCTGCCAATGGGGTCAGAACAATTTGAATTGTTTGAATTATCATTGCCAGATAATTTAGCTTGTTTTAAGCATACAGTGTATAACTCAATCTCGTGTTAGGTTAGCTCACACATCTCACGTGTGTGTCAGTATTCATGCCGCCGCATGCATTATTCACACTGCGTGCAAAAGGCCAGAAACACACGCTTGACCTGGTGTACATGCAGAAACATGTCATACGGGCTCTTCTGTTCAACTAACATTACTCAGACACAGGCGTAGCCAACATAATAATACATGCAAAAGCCTTAATAAAAAATATTTTTCTAAATTTGGGCTATTGTTGTTTACTTACAATATTAATTAAAAAAAAAAATATTTTTTTTATTTATTTAAATAATATCTGCCAAAAATCGGACTGCCAACAAAAATGCTCACACAAAGAAACTCAGTGAACACATAGCTGTTAAAATTCATGTGGAGTTTTCATATTTATAACATGATACAGTTAAACATCACACGACAAATAATGCTAAATACCATCACGACTGAAAATGTGACACTGTTACATGTGACCGTTCAACAAACAAATACAGCTGAAACTCGAAATATTAGAATATCGTGCAAAAGTTCATTTATTTCAGTAATTCAAGTTAAAAGGTGAAAATAATATATTATATAGACTCATTACATGCAAAGTGAGATATTTCAAGCCTTTATTTGTTATAATGTTGATGTTTATGGCTTACAGATATGAAAACCTTTTCACAATATTCTAATTTTGAATTTGGGGTTTTCATATCTGTAAGCCATAATCATAAGGACAAGCTCATGAAAAGCCCTAATGTTGAGCCCTGAGTTGTATTTGATATAGCCCAGTATTATGGTTATGTGGCGAGCCTGAGTATAGTTTTACACATCAGCCTATTCTGTAAAGTTAGTGATACGCAGTCTGGGGTTTTTGCACATTAATCTGACAATAAATGTGGCACACCCAGTTTTTCTTATGCGCACCCAGAGACCCGGTTCTGGCTCGCTAGTGCTCAGACAGCTAAAGCCTTCACTTCATTAGCAAGACATTATCTTCAAACTGTTGCTGCACCATGACATCAGAAAAAAATGTAATTTTTTAATAGAAAAATAAAGATATGATGTTGAAAGAAATTCTTGAATCAGCAGAGTAAAATGCTTTCTGCTGGATTCTGGAATATGCAGGGGAAAATCAAACATTTATATGTTGGAAAAGTTCTTGAAGAAGAGACACTGAATTACTTTGAACGAGGAGAATCTACATTTTTTATTTTTTTTATTATGGTTATTATTTTTTACATTTATGTATATGTTGATATATTGTATATGTTGTTATTGTTAGATGTTGTGGAAAGCATGTGTGAGTGAGTAGATGTTGGTTTATATGTGTTGTATGGTTTTGATATGTCTTAACAAAAAATACAATAAATAAAGTTTTTTTAAAAAGAAAAAAAGAAAAATAAAGAGAGAACCTTAAATATAATAGCTGCATTATTTTACATACAAACCAAGTTGAGCACTGAACTAACCTGTGAGGTAATCCAGACCTTCCAGCATCTTCTTCTCTCTGGAAAAGTCCAGTGCGAACGCGTCAAACGTGTCGTTCAGGTTGATCTCTGGAATCAGGACCTGTGAGGACGCGGTTGCCATTGAGACTCTGTAATTATATAACATGAAATGGGTTAACACAAACTAATTAAGGCCACAATTTGATGCATAAACTTATTTATTTGCTTGCACTATATTTTTTTGCAAAAGTTGTTACAGCCAAGTGTGGGTATCTGCAGATCGGAGTAGGGGGCGTGCCTAAAGGTAGGGGGCGTGTCTAAAAGTAGTGTGCGTGCCGAAAGGTAGGGGGCGTGTCTAATTATAGTGGGCGTGCTGAAATGTAGGGGGCGTATCAAAAGGTAGGGGGCGTGTCTAACAGTAGGGGCGTGCTGAAAGGTAGGGGGCGTGTCTAACAGTAGGGGCGTGCTGAAATGGTAGGGGGTGTGTCTAATTATAGTGGGCGTGCTGAAATGTAGGGGGCGTGTCTAACAATAGGGGCGTGCTGAAAGGTACGGGGCGTGTCTAACAGTAGGGGCGTGCTGAAATGGTAGGGGGTGTGTCTAACAGTAGGGGGTGTGTCTAACAGTAGGGGGCATGCTGAAATGGAAGGTAGGGGCGTGTCTAATTATAGTGGGCGTGTCCAACAGTAGGGGGTATGCTAAAGTGGAAGGTAGGGGGCGTGTCTAACAGTAGGGGCGTGGTGAACGGTACGGGGTGTGTCTAACAGTAGGGAGCATGTCCAACAGTAGGGGGCGTGCTGAAATGGAAGGTAGGGGCGTGTCCAACAGTAGGGGGCATGTCCAAAAGTAGGGGGCATGCTAAAGTGTAAGGTAGGGGGCGTGTCTAACAGTAGGGGTGTGCTGAAATGGAAGGTAGGGGCGTGTCTAACAGTAGGGGTGTGCTGAAATGGAAGGTAGGGGCGTGTCTAACAGTAGGGGTGTGCTGAAATGGAAGGTAGGGGCGTGTCTAACAGTAGGGGTGTGCTGAAATGGAAGGTAGGGGCGTGTCTAACAGTAGGGGTGTGCTGAAATGGAAGGTAGGGGCGTGTCTAACAGTAGGGGTGTGCTGAAATGGAAGGTAGGGGCGTGTCTAACAGTAGGGGGCATGTCCAACAGTAGGGGGCATGCTAAAGTGTAAGGTAGGGGGCGTGTCTAACAGTAGGGGGTGTGTCCAACAGTAGGGGGCGTGCTGAAATGGAAGGTAGGGGCGTGTCCAACAGTAGGGGGCGTGCTGAAATGGAAGGTAGGGGCGTGTCCAACAGTAGGGGGCATGTCCAACAGCAGGGGGCATGCTTAAGTGTAAGGTAGGGGGCGTGTCTAACAGTAGGGGCGTGGTGAACGGTAGGGGGTGTGTCTAACAGTAGGGGGCGTGTCCAACCGTAGGGGGCGTGCTGAAATGGAAGGTAGGGGCGTGTCTAACAGTAGGTGGCATGTCCAACAGTAGGGGGCATGCTAAAGTGTAAGGTAGGGGGCGTGTCTAACAGTAGGGGCGTGCTGAAATGTAGGGGGCGTATCAAAAGGTAGGGGGCGTGTCTAACAGTAGGGGCGTGCTGAAAGGTAGGGGGCGTGTCTAACAGTAGGGGCGTGCTGAAATGGTAGGGGGTGTGTCTAATTATAGTGGGCGTGCTGAAATGTAGGGGGCGTGTCTAACAATAGGGGCGTGCTGAAAGGTAGGGGGCGTGTCTAACAGTAGGGGCGTGCTGAAATGGTAGGGGGTGTGTCTAACAGTAGGGGGTGTGTCTAACAGTAGGGGGCATGCTGAAATGGAAGGTAGGGGCGTGTCTAATTATAGTGGGCGTGCTGAAATGTAGGGGGGCGTATCAAAAGGTAGGGGGCGTGTCTAACAGTAGGGGCGTGCTGAAAGGTAGGGGGCGTGTCTAACAGTAGGGGCGTGCTGAAATGGTAGGGGGTGTGTCTAACAGTAGGGGGTGTGTCTAACAGTAGGGGGCATGCTGAAATGGAAGGTAGGGGCGTGTCTAATTATAGTGGGCGTGCTGAAATGTAGGGGGGCGTATCAAAAGGTAGGGGGCGTGTCTAACAGTAGGGGCGTGCTGAAAGGTAGGGGGCGTGTCTAACAGTAGGGGCGTGCTGAAATGGTAGGGGGTGTGTCTAACAGTAGGTGGCATGCTGAAATGGAAGGTAGGGGCGTGTCTAACAGTAGGGGGCATGTCCAACAGTAGGGGGTATGCTAAAGTGGAAGGTAGGGGGCGTGTCTAACAGTAGGGGCGTGGTGAACGGTACGGGGTGTGTCTAACAGTAGGGAGCATGTCCAACAGTAGGGGGCGTGCTGAAATGGAAGGTAGGGGCGTGTCCAACAGTAGGGGGCATGTCCAAAAGTAGGGGGCATGCTAAAGTGTAAGGTAGGGGGCGTGTCTAACAGTAGGGGTGTGCTGAAATGGAAGGTAGGGGCGTGTCTAACAGTAGGGGTGTGCTGAAATGGAAGGTAGGGGCGTGTCTAACAGTAGGGGTGTGCTGAAATGGAAGGTAGGGGCGTGTCTAACAGTAGGGGTGTGCTGAAATGGAAGGTAGGGGCGTGTCTAACAGTAGGGGTGTGCTGAAATGGAAGGTAGGGGGAGTGCCGTAAGGTAGGGGGCGTGTCTAACAGTAGGAGCATGTTGAAATGGAAGATAGGGGGAGTGCCGTAAGGTAGGGGCGTGTCCAACAGTAGGGGCGTGTCATGTTTCGTCACCTCTCTGAGATGCTCTTTGCAGTCTGCAGGAATCGAGCGTGGTCCGTCTCTTTCAGAGCTTGATCCGCTTGAGCGATGAGTGAGGACGATCTCTCCACAAACTGCTTACAGTTAGCGATCTGTTGAGCTAGCTTTCTCACCCGAACCACCTACACACACACACACACACACAATATGAGACTGAACAGGCCATTACCATTCAGACACACACATGTGCACACAGACTTTTCTAAACCAGCAAATGATCCTCCATTTTGTCATCAAATATAAAAGATTATTGTGTAAACATAAATTCAGATGTGAAAACTAAATCTGTAATATCATACGGCCTGAATAATAACCTCTGGCTGTGGCGATACATTAGTGAACTCTGACCCTGACGTGCAGTGAGGAAGGAAGCAGAGTTTCCTCTGAGAGAAAATCCCAAAGCCTTTTGTTCTTTCCCATTTAACAACAACTCAGCATTAAAACTTCAGCAAGTAAGATGCTTTATAATGCTTCATTGAGATGTTTACTTTTATTCAGCAAGGATGCGTTGAATTGATTAAAAGTGACAGTAAAGACAATTATAATGTTACAAAAGATTCTATTTCAGAATCAGAAAAGCTTCATTTCTATGATCATAAATACAGTAAAACAGTGTAATATTACTCCAGTGTAAATCAGCTGTTTTCTATGTGAATATATAGTAAAGTGTAATTTATTCCTGTGAATTTTCAGCATCATTACTCCAGTCTTCAGTGTCACATGATCCTTCAGAAATCACTCTAATATGAGGATCTGATGCTCAAGAAACATTTATGATTATTATCAGTGTTGAAAACAGCTCATATTTCTGTGGAAACTGATACATTTTATTTCTCAGGATTCTTTGATGAATAAAAAGTTCAAGATTTATTTGAAACAGAATCTTTTGTAACATTATAATTGTCTTTACTGTCACTTTTGATCAATTGAATGCATCTTTGGCATCGATTTCTTTACAAATGAGAGAATTATGTTGATGATCGTACTTTTCCTTCTTTTATCTTGGTGCCGATGATTTGTCTCCTCTGCTGAACGATGTTTATCAGCGTGTCGCACTCTTCCGTCAGTTTGCTCTCCTGATGAGCCGCGTTGTGCTGGAAGCAAAACAAGCAGAACAACGGAAATTATGGCAAATATGACAACATGTTTTGTGCAAACGAACAACTTCCTCCATATAACAGGGCAAGTAGAGTCACACCGCAGTGAAGGGGCAAACCAGGTACAACCACAGTCCGATGCGCTTTATGACACAACAATAACAGTGACATGATAAACGGCTCATCCAATCAGAGAATCAGATTGAATTACTGTTACAAAAACATGTTTTACAATCTTATAAGTGATTAATGACAATAAAAACATTGGTATTTTGTGATAAATAAGTAAAACAAATACATTTCACATGTTCAAACTCACTTCCTTTTTTCACCCGTTTTTATATTTTAAAGTGGACTGCAACATTCACAAGTCAAGATCATCTTGTTTCCATTACATTTGTTTACCTCCACATGTTGACACGTCTGGATCAACTTCCCCATGAGGTTTTCCAGCTCGCTGTTCCTCTTGATCAAATTGCTGAGGTTGGAATCCAACATTTGCTGAGGAAAAATAACAGCAACATCAGAAAAGCAGCGCTTTACATGTGCAGCACAATTTAAGACAATGAGGGAAAATATGATAATCTACCAAACATCCTACATCCATAATTCCCTGTGTTTGAGCTCGTCTGTGTCTGGCGTGCGACGCATGAGTGTGTGGCTCCCGAAGCCTCGGGCCGAGCGATAACCCTTCATGGGGGAGGGAGGCGAGCGGCGCCGCGGATTGGGAATTTATCTACTAGATTGAGTCCGTTTGATGAGCTTTAACCTCAACGCAGATTGTGTTCCTGCTTAATATCCCAGAACACGAATGCAAATGCCTTTGATACAAGATGCTACAAATGATATAAAATGTAAAACAATTTGAGTGAGAAATAAACATGAGGATCGTGATATCCAAGCGTGATTTGAAATGTTCCAGAGAATCTGATTTTTAAATGTAAGTCAAAAAACACGGAATAAATAATGCTGAATAATGCAATAAATGCATTTATTTGATAAAAAAATACAGTAAAACAGTGTAATATTACTCTAGTGTAAATCAGCTGTTCTCTATGTGAATATATAATAAAGTGTAATTTATTCCTGTGATCAAAGCTGAATTTTCAGCATCATTACTCCAGTCTTCAGTGTCACATGATCCTTCAGAAATCACTCTAATATGAGGATCTGATGCTCAAGACACATTTATGATTATTATCAGTGTTGAAAATCATATTTTTGTGGAAACTGATACTTTTTTTTCAATTCTTTGATGACTAGAAAGTTTTTAAAAAGCAGCATTTATTTGAAATACAATCTTTTGTAAGATTATAAATGTGACAGTAAAGATACTTTGTCACTTTGTTAAAATGTAAGTTTTCTAAATTATTCTCATTTTCTCCAGTATGAAAAAAATATTCCAAAGAGAATCTGGAAGAAGTAAATCTATCTGTATTGCGTGTCACTAATTTGTTTAGCGACCCAGAAACAGTGTGGAATATTAAATATTTCTTAATTTATTCGTGAAGAACCTTTAATATGAATAGCATCTGATTCATTGGTCCGGCCAGTAAATAAAAAAAATGTAAAATATGAGATTTGAGATGTTGAGTTGTGAGGATAGGAAATGAGGTCGCTGAGTTCAAGCGATGACAAGAGAGCAAAGAGAGCATGTGTAATGTGCACAACGCTAAAAATAGATGATCAGAGAGACGGAAAACACACACTCTCTCTCAGAGCGCTGATTTACTGTATGATATTTCATTTCTTCAGATTATACGTCTCGGTTTATCTTTGGGATTTAAACCCAAATAGCAAATGTGAAATACAAACATACTTCATTTTGGGGAGATTGAAACAAGATTCCTGTGGAACAATCATGAATATTAGAGTCATTTCTTCAATTATTAAGTGTAGCAATAATGCAAAAATCAAACCAGGTATTAAATTATAGATTTGACATAATCAAGCCTTTTTATTCCATGTTTGGAAGTATGCATGCAGAATTAATCCTAAATGCTGATTCCTGCAATGCAAGATTTTGCACTTTACAAAATGACAAGTTGATTCTAATTTAAAATGAACATCTGCATTATTATCTTGGCTACTACTATACTTTTATTGCTACTATCAAAATAATCTCTAAATAATTGCATGAATACGAACCTTCATCATCCACAACCCTGATTCTGTCACATTTGCATCAAGGTTTCTACATGATTAGACCTGTTCAGCGGCGTTTGTAGATGTGCAACACACTCTACTGTAAACGATCCTCACTGCTGATAATAATACGCTTGTAGAAATGATAGCATGCATGATTCACCCCCAGGAGACATTTGCTGAAAACTGCACAACTAACAGTAGCATTACATTAGATATCATATACAGTACATCTCATCTTCATCCTTCTCTCGGGTCATTTTGACCCTGAATATTTTTATGAAATAATTAAAAGAATTGAGTGTTCATCAGAAGGTCCGAGACCAGGACTTTTGTCGCACTTGAACCACGAATACACAAAAAATTGAATGGATTCGAGGAGTTTTGTGATTGAAATTTAAAAAAGTAACAAATCCGTTCCCTCGGGTCAATCTGACCCCCTTAGGAATGACTGGAATACGAGGAATGTTTCAGTACACAGAGTAAAACTAAAAATGCACACTGAAGAAAAACTGACTTTAGGACCCAGGGGAACAGCTCCTCTGCTCCATATAGAGCTATAAGGCCATGAAATGAAATATCATGATATATTATTATTTTTCCACAAGAGGTCGGCAAAGACACCCAATGTAAGATATTTAGAGCTGAATTAAAAGGGTTATGCATGAAATTGTGAGTTAAGTTGAAATACAATAAGTTGAAAGAATGTGAGGAATGTGCTTAAATTACTAGGCTATTTATTTATTATTTATTGATCTAAATCTAGTAATTTAAAGGTAAATAAATAAAAAATAACAAAAAAATTGCATTAAGATATAGAAAAATATTATCAAAATGAAATAAAAAAAGCTTTCTGGGTACAAAAAAAAGTATAATTTTAGGGCTTCGGGTCATTTTGATCCCTGAGGGAAGGATGTGTTACATAACGCGAGGGAGAGATGCGTTACAGAACGCGAGGGAGAGATGCGTTACAGAACGCGAGGGAGAGATGCGTTACAGAACGCGAGGGAGAGATGCGTTACAGAACGCGAGGGAGAGATGCGTTACAGAACGCGAGGGAGAGATGCGTTACAGAACGCGAGGGAGAGATGCGTTACAGAACGCGAGGGAGAGATGCGCTACAGAACGCGAGGGAGAGATGCGTTACAGAACGCGAGGGAGAGATGCGTTACAGAACGCGAGGGAGAGATGCGTTACAGAACGCGAGGGAGAGATGCGTTACAGAATGCGAGGGAGAGATGCGTTACAGAACGCGAGGGAGAGATGCGTTACAGAACGCGAGGGAGAGATGCGTTACAGAACCCGAGGGAAAGATGCGTTACAGAACGCGAGGGAAAGATGCGTTACAGAACGCGAGGGAGAGATGCGTTACAGAACCCGAGGGAAAGATGCGTTACAGAACGCGAGGGAAAGATGCGTTACAGAACGCGAGGGAAAGATGCGTTACAGAACACGAGGGAGAGATGCGTTACAGAACGCGAGGGAAAGATGCGTTACAGAACGCGAGGGAGAGATGCGTTACAGAACCCGAGGGAAAGATGCGTTACAGAACGCGAGGGAGAGATGCGTTACAGAACGCGAGGGAAAAATGCGTTACAGAACGCGAGGGAGAGATGCGTTACAGAACGCGAGGGAGAGATGCGTTACAGAACCCGAGGGAAAGATGCGTTACAGAACGCGAGGGAGAGATGCGTTACAGAACCCGAGGGAAAGATGCGTTACAGAACGCGAGGGAGAGATGCGTTACAGAACCCGAGGGAGAGATGCGTTACAGAACCCGAGGGAAAGATGCGTTACAGAACGCGAGGGAGAGATGCGTTACAGAACCCGAGGGAGAGATGCGTTACAGAACCCGAGGGAAAGATGCGTTACAGAACGCGAGGGAGAGATGCGTTACAGAACCCGAGGGAGAGATGCGTTACAGAACGCGAGGGAGAGATGCGTTACAGAACCCGAGGGAAAGATGCGTTACAGAACCCGAGGGAAAGATGCGTTACAGAACGCGAGGGAGAGATGCGTTACAGAACCCGAGGGAGAGATGCGTTACAGAACCCGAGGGAACGCGAGGGAGAGATGCGTTACAGAACGCGAGGGAAAGATGCGTTACAGAACGCGAGGGAAAGATGCGTTACAGAACGCGAGGGAAAGATGCGTTACAGAACGCGAGGGAGAGATGCGTTACAGAACCCGAGGGAGAGATGCGTTACAGAACCCGAGGGAACGCGAGGGAGAGATGCGTTACAGAACGCGAGGGAAAGATTCTGCGTTACAGAACCCGAGGGAAAGATGCGTTACAGAACGCGAGGGAGAGATGCGTTACAGAACGCGAGGGAAAGATGCGTTACAGAACCCGAGGGAGAGATGCGTTACAGAACGCGAGGGAAAGATGCGTTACAGAACCCGAGGGAAAGATGCGTTACAGAACGCGAGGGAAAGATGCGTTAACGCATTCAGAACGTTCTGCGTTACAGAACGCGAGGGAGAGATGCGCTACAGAACGCGAGGGAGAGATGCGTTACAGAACGCGAGGGAAAGATGCGTTACAGAACGCGAGGGAGAGATGCGTTACAGAACGCGAGGGAGAGATGCGTTACAGAACGCGAGGGAGAGATGCGTTACAGAACGCGAGGGAGAGATGCGTTACAGAACGCGAGGGAAAGATGCGTTACAGAACCCGAGGGAAAGATGCGTTACAGAACGCGAGGGAAAGATGCGTTAACGCATTCAGAACGTTCTGCGTTACAGAACGCGAGGGAGAGATGCGCTACAGAACGCGAGGGAAAGATGCGTTACAGAACCCGAGGGAGAGATGCGTTACAGAACGCGAGGGAGAGATGCGTTACAGAACGCGAGGGAGAGATGCGTTACAGAACGCGAGGGAGAGATGCGTTACAGAACGCGAGGGAAAGATGCGTTAACGCATTCAGAACGTTCTGCGTTACAGAACGCGAGGGAGAGATGCGCTACAGAACGCGAGGGAAAGATGCGTTACAGAACCCGAGGGAGAGATGCGTTACAGAACGCGAGGGAGAGATGCGTTACAGAACGCGAGGGAGAGATGCGTTACAGAACGCGAGGGAGAGATGCATTACAGAACGCGAGGGAGAGATGCGCTACAGAACGCGAGGGAGAGATGCGTTACAGAACGCGAGGGAAAGATGCGTTACAGAACGCGAGGGAGAGATGCGTTACAGAACGCGAGGGAAAGATGCGTTACAGAACGCGAGGGAGAGATGCGTTACAGAACGCGAGGGAGAGATGCGTTACAGAACGCGAGGGAGAGATGCGTTACAGAACGCGAGGGAGAGATGCGTTACAGAACGCGAGGGAGAGATGCGTTACAGAACGCGAGGGAG